GAAGAAGCCCCCGGCCGAGCTCATCTTGAAATGGATTGCTCGGGCATGGGAGGCTGTGCCAGAGGAGCTCGTGCGGAATTCGTTCAAAACGTGCGGGATATCCAACGCGCTGGACGGCACCGAGGACAATCTCGCTCTCCGCCACCTCCGCGGCAGGCCCGACCTCGAGGTGATGGACGATGTCCACTTTGAGGAGGGTGAGAGCGGCTACATCAACCCCCTCTCCTAAGTCAGTGCAGATGTGGCTCCTCAGCAGCTCGACCTTCACGGAGGCCAGTTCGTCTCTGTCTGCAGTAGCAAAAATCAGGTCGTCTACATAGACAAGGATGTAGAACGGGGTCTGGCCAGCACGAACGAAGAGCGAGGGGTCTGCAAAGGACGGGAAGAACTACAGTTCAGCTAACGTAGCACGCATCGTGTCGTGCTACTCGCGCGGCACCTGCTGCAGACCGTTCACCGGGCGGCGGAGGAGCCACTCGGTCCCCGAGGCGAAGTTGCCGGTGAAGCCTGGAGGGCAACGCAGGTAGACCTGCTCGTGCAGACTGCCCTGAAGAAACGCGGTCGAGAAGTCGAGAGAGTGCAACTTGTAGTCACACTATGGTGCTACGCGTAGCAGCGCATGTAGAGTAGTCATCTTCGGGGTCGGGACGAAGGTCTGGAAGAACTCAACACCCTCGCGCTGACTGAAGCCTCTAGCAACGTAGCGCGCCTTGAACACCGGCGGTTCTCCGGCGGGCGCTTCACCTTGAAGAGCCACCAGTCATCGACTACGTTCACCCCAGGTGGTGGAACTGCGTCGACGTAGGTGCTGGTGGATCTCCAAGATGCCATCTCTGCGTCCATGGCAGCTATCCACTGAGACGACTAGCCGCATGAAGGTAGTCAGACAGAGGAGGCGGAGTGACAACAAATGACGACGGAGGAGGCGACGGGAGGAGGGGAGGATGAGACGCGTGGGAACGAAGCAACATAGGGTGGGAGCGCTGAACAAGGGAGACATGACGAGCATGAGAGGGACGGAGAGACCAGATGTGGGAAGGAGGCGTCGGGTCAGGAGACACAGGAGGACACACGGGAGGAGAACGAGGGGGGAAACGAGTCGGAGACGAGTCCGGCGAAGGAAAGACAGGGCCATAGACAGGCAGAGGAGGTGGCGGTGGGGGAGGCACAGGTGGGAGGTAAGGGGAGGGAAGACCGAAGAGGCGAAGAGCGGACACCGGTGGGGACTGCGGCTGCTGCTTCTGCTGCTGCTCCACGCCGACACCTGAGCCTCCACCTGCACCATGGCTACCTCAGGGACACTCCATTCCAGCAACCCCATAACGATTGCCGTCTCCAGTACCAGTGCCACCCACGAGACCGCCGGGATAAGCCACGACAGTAACCCTAGGACTAGCACCCCCAGAACGAGAACCCTCTCCAGCACCACTGCCACCCCCGAGACCATCGGGACGAGCCATGACAGTAACCTCAGGGCTAGCACCCTCCTCAACGCCCGCACCCCCAGAAATTGTGGATCCCTGTGGCTGCAGCTGCGACTGCGGCGGCGACTACTGCTGCTGCGGCGGCGGTAGCAGAGGAGGGGACATTGGGGCACATACAGGAGGCAAACCCGAAGCTGCAGGGCCCCTAGAGTTTGCTGACTCCTCAACCGGAACAAGCGATGGGAGGGGAGTGACGTGAGACACACCGGACGGGGCAGGACAGGGAGGACGAGGAGTAAGGGCGACCACGGGGTTGGGGACCAGGAACAGGGGCGGGGCAACCGAGAGACCTAGGTGGGGAAAGCAGGTGTAGAAGGAGACAGACTCATCAAAAGTGACATCACGCGAGTGAAAGAAGCAGTGAGATGTGCCTGTCAGACGCGTCGAGGGGGAAGCCAAGCAAGACATAGGGGAAAGTGCGGGTAGTGAGCTTGTCCGTGCTAGAGGCACGAATGTGAGCAAGATACCCCTAGATGTGGAACGCAAACGCATCACCAGGGAACCCGCTCCAGAGGAGGGTCGGCGAAACCTGCGGCCGCTTGGAGTGCGACCACATGTTAACTTGGTGAGCGGCGTAGCAAACAACAAATGGCAACAGAAAATGGGGTGCACCAGCATGAATCATGGAGGTACGAGCAACCTCCATGACCAAACCGATGCATCGCTCAGCGACCCCATTCTGCTACAGGGAGTCCGGTAGGGTGTACGACTGGGTGATGCCCTCCGCACAACAGAACTGGCCAAGTCGACCAGAGGCAAACTCGCCACCACAGTCGGAGTGGAGACGCAACACAGGGAGGCTGCGGTGGAGTCACGCAGCTACGATCCACGAGATAAGGGCGTCAGGCATGTCGGCCCTCTGCTCTAGGGGAAACACCATGGTGTAGTGCGTGAAGTCGTCGACAAGCACTAGAAAGTAGCTCTCTCGACGCGGCCCAGGGGCGGGGGCTGGGCCCCAAACGTCCACGTGCGGAGTCTGGAGTGGCGCAGTGGTAGGGGGAAGCGAGGAGGAGTGAGGAGCATGGCGCAGCCGACCCTCGATGCAAGGCGTGCATGGCGGCGTAGGGGAGGGAGGAAGGGAAGGGAGCGACGCGGGAAGACCGAAGACAAGACAGTGATGTGACATGTGACACAAACGCAGGAGGGCGAGATGGCCTAGGCAGTGGTGCCAGAGAAGTGATGGGTGAGTGAGCGACCGACACGAGCAAGCCGCAGCAATCTGGGTCGACGCAGACACCTGGGGGAACGCCCTCACCGGGGGTGGGTGCAGTGTCAAGCGTAAGCAAGCCAGGAACAGGGTCCCGGGGGAACGTGGTCAGAGGGGCACCAGTGGCGACCTTGGTACAGACCGCGTACCGCTCGTGTCCGGGGATTGTAGTAGTGACGCCGAGGTCCTGAAGACAGCTGACACCAACTAGGTTCCTGGAGAACGAGGGGATGTGCATGCTTGTAAGAGAACCTAAGAGGACAGCCAGACAGGGAAGGGAGGTGGAGCTACGAGCAACTACCTGATCTGAGGAGGGGTTAGCAAGCGCGATAGTGGCAGTGGCGGCCAGCGGCGTGAACGCAGTGTGGTCGCGGAAGAAGCAGGCAGATGCTCTAGAGTCAAGCGTGAAGGAGAGCGACGTAGTAGCGTCAGCCGGCGGGGGGCCTAGCGTGAAGCGTAGGCTAAACAAGGCAGGTGGTCCTATGCCTGACGTAGCAGGGGAGCTTAGACTATATACATGGGACACACCTACGCTAGGCAACACCGAGTAATAGGGTCCAATCATACTAGAGTCATCAGCATACATGACAGACATAGGATTCCTAATCTGATCCATGTTAAGCTCAAAGACAAGCACACAGCGGCGCGCCAAGGCGTACCAGTCAGGAGGGTCCGACGTGGGATCGAAGCGGTGACGGAAGAGGTCGTCAAGGGGGCGGTAGCAGCGGGCGGCGGTGTGAGCGTAACGGTCGCAGACGGTGCCTCGGTGGGAGCCGGTCTGAAGCTGGTACTGACAGGTGACTGCACTGGAGCCTCCACCTGACATCGACCTGCGCCCCCCACCACCACGACCACCGCCACCTGTGCCGCCTGTCCACTACAGTGACGGGGATCCCCACGGTGACTGCTGCTGCTGCAGCAACTGCTCCTGCGGCTGCTGCTGCTCCGGGGCACCGGCCCTGGTACCCTCGTCTGAACCACCGTCCCCGCCCCCAACTCCTCCACCCTCCCCACCCCCACCAACCTTCCCTCCGCCACGCCCCCCCTTAGGGCGGCGGCCCTTACCTGGACGCGGCTGCGCTGGGGCCGCAGCGGCGATCTCATCAACAGCGGCAGTGACGTCAGAGTAAGTGCACTGGGAGGGAGCACAACACTGAAAGATAGGGACCAGTGCAGTACCGCCAAACTGAGCGATAGTGCGTTGGCGGGTCTCTATCGCGGACAGAGCGATGACAATGGTGGTGAGGGTAAGGTCACTCGGGTGCTGACTAAGGAAGTGATCGCGGGCAGTGGTTAGGCGGTCGGGAAGGTGCGTGGCAACAAGGTAAAGGGTAGCGCAAAGCGGCGGTGGAAAGGCAGTGAGCTGAGCTTCAGTGCTAGCGGCGCGGTAGCTAGTCTCAAGTGTGCGAAGGTGAGTGGCAAGATCGGCGACAGTCGGGAAGGACGCAAGGTCAAGGAACAACATGGGGAGGATCAGGCGGCCAGGTGAGGCTGAGGCAGGGGTGGAACAACGCGCAATGACTGCATCTAAGAATTCCTTGGCGTTCGCTACAGTGGTAAAGCTGGGACGCTTAGACAGGGGAAGTGCGTGACTAATAGCAAGCTGCGCAACGGCGTCGCGCGACTCCCAGACAGAGCGAGCAAGTGCAGCAGCGGAAAAGGCCTTACGCTCAGTAGTGGTGGGGGCGTCAGGGAGGGCAACAGGCGCAGTGGGGCGGGGAAGCAGGCCATCAGCATGAACAGCCAGGGAGTGGCCGTCCTAGCGCTGACCTGTAAGGTGACGGCGAAGGTCGAGGAGCCACGCCTCGAAGTCGATCGCCCGCCCCTCCGCGTCCAGGCGGAGCACAGCGTCCGCCATCCCACGAGTTGAGCTACACGACGACATGGCGACACAGCGGGCAGCTAGCGACGAGAAGCTAGGTACGGGCGGCTAGGAACGGGCGGTTAGGACTAGGCCTAAGGCGGAAGCGCAGGTGGGCGGGGGGAACCTAACGTAGCACGATACCATATCAAAGTTAGAAAAAATGGTTGACTAGAATGAGGCAAACATGGTGGTTTTGTCGAAGGAGTTGTACCCTCTAAGAGTGCGCTCCTACCTAGCCTATAAGATATACATTATATGTTTGACATTAGTGTAACGACATTGCAGTTGTAGTTGAGACTCAAAAAGCTGTGCACATCAGCTGAGTATATGCCCCTGTGGGAGATTCCAGAACAGCTGTTGATGGTCATTGTTCTGGGATTTGCTAGTGGAAAATCCAATGAAGTACATGCTCTAAGAGAAGATCCATTTGCCTTCTATCCAGGCAATAACGGTACAGTGAGAAAAGCCGGGTTCTTATCACCACGCAGCTTTGTGTTGCATTGGTTGCAAGGCCATTGCTACTTAGAACAGTCTCAAACATTCTCAGAACAGTCCCATAACCAGTCCGAAACTACTCAACAGAGTCTCAAACCAACACAAGACACATTGTTTCCAGCTATCGTATCTACTCCACTCGCAAACGCACCAAGCTATGTACATCAACACTCATGAAATCTAGTCACCCTTTCAAGCCTAGCCACTACAGCAGCATGTCACCGACGCCCCACCCCATGTTGAGTTGGGAAGACACATCCCCTGGAAGCCTCACTGCACTCTCTTGGGCATCATCCCTCGCGCCAGCCACTTGCTGTCCAGATTCAGTGCATCCAGCTTAATCACCCATTTGCTGTCCAGATTCAGTGCATTTAGTACAATCACCCTGCTCCACAATCAGTTGGGAAGGAACGTCCCGTGGAAGCCATACGGCACCCTCTTGGGCATGATGACTCGCGCCAGCGGTTCCCGGTCCAGATGCATTGCATCCAGCACAATCACCTCACTTCTCATCTCCTCCTCATCCCACACATGCGCCACCACCCACCCATCATCCTCCTCCTCCGCACCCATCCCCACCGCATCTGCTCCCACTGCACCGCTGGTCTGAGAGGGATCACTTCGGAATTGGGTGCTCTGGAAGTGGTGCCGTGGGGCAAACACGGGCTCGCCGCAGAACCTCCCAGGTGGGAGGGTGTGCACCTGGTAGGTACCCTGCTGGAAATCGTGCTTCATTATGGCGTTGAAGGAGGGGACGGTGGTGCCTGGAGGTGAGGAAGTGGTTGAGACAGTGAGAATAATAGAGGAGAGGTTTGGGAAAATGAGACAAGTCGGAGGGTGTGCTCCTGGTAGGTGCCCTGCTGGAAGTCGTGCTTCATTACGGCGTTGAAGGAGGGGACTGTGGTGCCTGGAGGAAACAGAATGGGCAGAGACACCAGGGACAATAGGGAGGGGGACTGGGGCGATAAGCGGTAGCTCGGAGGGTGTGCACCTGGTAGGTGCCCTGCTGGAAGTCGTGCTTCATTATGGCATTGAAGGAGGGGACGGTGGTGAGGAATACTACCAAGCTGCGCTCTGGCGGGCAGGTCTAAAAAAAACTCGGGCAGGTGTAAAAAAAACCTGTTTGGGGAGGGAAGAGGGGGGGTGCAGAGCACCATATTCCCCCCACCAAATGTCGCATCATTTAGCATGGTAATAAATAAATAGTTCAAGCCACCAAGGGCATGTCAAGGGTTCCAAACTCCTCCAACAACCAGCCAACCACCCATCTCAGGTAAGCCTCCCCCAAACCACTGGAGATTGGGTGGGATGCTGTGCGGTTGGGAGGGGCGAAGGGGTTGGGTTGAGGATTTCAAAAGCCAAATTTCGGTTGGCAACATGGCGAAATCCCTGTGGAGTTTTGCCATGTCGCAAATTTGTCGCATCTTTTTTTGCGTCTTTCTTGCCGGGCTGCCCGCCAAGAAATATGCTAGCGTATTGCGTACTTAACTAGCATACAGCGTATTCGTATTATACGCTAGCGTATATACGCAATACGCTAGGCTGCCAAAGCGTATTTCTCCACTTAGGTGGGGACGGGGATCAGAAGGACAAGATTGAGACAGTGTACAAGCACGGGATGGTGCACCATGGTTGAAGAAGCCATTGGGGGATTTAGGGAGGGAGCTAGAGTTGGTTCTGAAAAGGGTGGAAAAAAAAGGGCTATTTTGAGATACAATCACCCGGGATACAATATCTAGGGGTCCATCACGGTGTTATATCCGGGGCAGAACGGTGGATCACACCTGCTGTGGCGCTTCCATTCCTCCATCCCTCGCTCACCTGGTTCAGTACAGACAGGCAGAATGGAAGAGGCTGTGCTGTGAGCCTGGCAGGCAGTGAATGCGCACCGATTGGGGCGATCCTCTCACCTCTCGCTTCCCGCACTTGATTCCTCCCCTCCAGCCGTCCACCCCTCACCTGGCCCTAGCTGTGCTGTGAATCCTCACCAGGCCCCGGCTGTGCTGTGAATCCTCACCTGGCTCCGGTTGTGCTGTGAATCCTCACCTGGCCCCGGCTGTGCTGTGAATCCTCACCTGGCCCCGGCTGTGCTGTGAATCCTCACCGGGCCCCGGCTGTGCTGTGAATCTAGCAGTGTATGCGTATCGATGGGGGCGGCCCGTGAAGTTTGGGTTGATAGAGGGAAAATCGCAGCACACCTGAGGGAGAGAAGGCCAATTACCAAAAAAAAAAAAAAAAAAAAAAAAAGAGGATTAGAGGGAGAGCATTGCAGTCAGCAGCAATGAAAGTAGAGCAATGGATGGTTCTGTTTTTTTTTCTAAGTAATCCAGGGCCGCAAAACAAAGAAGTTCCCAAAACAATGAGCTTTATGCAATGTGCGTAGAACTCTACTTCCCAAACGCACGCAGCTGGTCTGACCTTTCCTAACGACTTTCTTTCTGCGGTTCCCAATTGCAGGTCCAGCCTGTACTCGTGCTGCCATGGTGAGTGAATTGAGAGTGGCTAGAGATACCTGTCCAGCCTGTGAGTGGTTCTAGTCTCTTGCATGGGGGGGTGGGGGGTAATCGTACCTTTCCCAGCGCCTTCTCTTCTGCGGTTCCCGATTGCAGATCCGTCCTCTACTCGTGCAGCCATGATGCGTCAGTGGTTCAGGTGAGTGGCTACAGAGTGGCTACATACACCTTTCCAGCCTGTCAGTTGTTTGCTCTCTTGCATGAGAGCACTGCAGCATACCTTGCCCAGCGATTTTTCTTCCGCTGTTCCCGATTGCAGGTCCAGCCTGTACTCGTGCAGCCGCGCCACCTCATCGCACGCCAGGTCATCTGCCAGCTCACCCAGGCCCAGCGCTGAGAAGGCGTGGAAGCGGATGACACGTAGGACGATGGCGGGAGGAGGGGAGTGGGGGGAGGAGGATGAATGTGCGGATGGGGAGTAGGAGGAGGAGGAGGAGGATTCTTCGAATGCGTTCACTACATGAAGACAGAAGCTGCGGGGAAATGGGAGTGGAACGCAACGAAAAAAAATATAATGAGTAAAACAGATGAAAAAACGGAGTGGGGTGTGGGGGGGGGGGGGACGGGGAGAGGGGAGTCGGGAGAGGGAGAGGGGGGGGTTGAAGGGGCAAAAACGAGTAAATAAGATACAAAAGAGCAACGATATGAAACAGCTCACCCCGGCTCCACTGTAAACCACTGGATGTCGGCCTTGGAGCCAAAGCGAGGGAGCACTCCAACGCGAGATGGCTTAGACTGGAAAGGGGGAGAATACAGAATACACATGGGAGTGTATAAAGCACTCAGTGGAGAGCAAAGGGGATGTCAAACAAGGCTGGAAACATGAGAAAAGGGAGAAAATCAAGGACACACGCAGCGGATCCAAAGAGCGAAATCACTCTTAGATAAGATGAGATGGGAGCATACAAAGAAGCAGAAAAGACGGGTTGCTGGATTGAAATGGCACGAAGGCGACAATCGGCTGTAAAAAAAGAGACGAAAAAACTTACGGGGTCGGAGACAAGGGCTTGGCCTTGCCCTGCAACTGAATGACCAAGAGTTTGACAAAACTCCCAAAACAGGGTCGAAGCACTTACAGTTCAGAGATGGCTTACAGGGTCAAAGACAAAGGGCTTGGCGTTTCCGTGCGACTGAATGACTTTGTCGAGCTGGAAGCGAAGCGGGAAGTCGAGGAAAATGGAGTAGTGCTCGGTGATAGCGAAATCGTGCATCTATGGTGGGGGAGATTGGAGGGGAGGGCGCGGGGAGGGAGATGGGGAGGTAAGGGTAAAAGAGACAGGACGTGAAGGAGGCGATGGAATTTTAGGAATATGGCGTAGTGCTCTGTACTGGCAAAATCGTGCATCTGAAATGGGGAGTCAGGGAGCGAGGGACGGGTGTTTAACGGGGGGTGATGGGAAGTAGAGCTATATGTGAAAGAGGTCTATAAAAGAGGACGTGATAGTCCGTCAATTACTGAGCGTGTACGCACGTTTCAGCACAGGTATCTTCATCAGCGCTCTATGATGGACGGACTATCACGTCCTCTTTCATAGACCTCTCTCGCTAATCACTCGCTCTCTTAGACTTTTTTCTTAGGATGCTAAGATCTGTTGGATGTCGCTGTCGAACCTACATTTTACTTCTACTAGAGCGAAATGCGAGAGAGGTCTACGAAAGCATGAGAGCACGGTGTGTAATCAGTCGATTTTTGAGTCGACTCAGAAATGCGAGAGAGGCCTGTGAAAGCATGAGAGCACGGTTGGGACCAGGAAAACGGTTGGGAAAGGTCGATGGGACGCCGGGAAGAAAAAAGACAGGCACAAGGGAGGGGGTGTGGTGCTCTGTGGTTGTGGATGGAATTGTACATCGATGTGTGCATCACATCACATGCCCCACACCCCATCCCTCTGTGATTGTGGAATTGTGCATTGCTGTGCTTGACATGTGGCACGTGAGATTTCCTATAGTGCCTAAAAATCATCTCTGTGAAGGCGCGATCATGTACTGCACCATATCACACTATGCAGCAGACCAGACCAGACCACACCACACCACACCACACCATACCATGACAGGATGTGGTAGGTCGATATCAGTGGAGTGCACGAGAGCTCCAGCGGGGTCCACCACCCCATAGCGCAGGTAGGGCTGGGGTTGGGAGGAAGGGGGGGAGGAGAGGGAGGTGAAATGAAAAAACACTGATAACAGTGGAAAAGTGCATAGAGCTCCAGAGGGATCCACCACCCCATAGCGCAGGTAAGGCTGGGGTGAGAAATTCGAATGGGGGCGGATGGAAGGTGGGTGAGGAAGAGAGGGAGGAGAGAGAAGGAGATCGATGTCAGTGCAGTGCACGAGAGCTCCAGCGGGGTCCACCACCCCATAGCGCAGGTAGGGCTGGGGGTGGGAGGAAGGGGAAGAGGAGAGGGAGGTGCAATGAAAAAACACCGATAACAGTGGGAAGGCGAGTGCATAGAGCTCCAGAGGGGTCCACCACCCCATAGCACAGGTAAGGCTAGATATCCAAGGTGAGAAAAGCGAGGAGAGGGAATAGAGGGGGGAGCGAACACGGAGTGGGGTCTATTTTTTAGGCGCCTCAAAGAATAGATTGCGCAGGCTGGAAATCCATGGGAGAAAAGCGAGGGGTGGGAACAGAGGGGGGAGAGGACACGGAGCGGGGCAAGCTGAGGGTGACCAAGAGAGGTCAAAATGAAGCGATGTTGAGATTATGATCTCTACTTTGAATTGTTTGCTCAGTGACCACCAATGGCGATTGAGCAGACGTGTTGCTGGTTAAGGTTGCATGGAGCCAATTTCACAGGTTCGTATTTGGTGTCACGATGTCATCTCGTCCTCCGCAGGGGTGAAGGCACGACCAAAACAACATGTTTCATAACAACTAGGCGCCACCTCGTGTTTTGTGAATCTGTAACCGGTTACTTGTGCGTCATGTTGTAACTGATACATTGCACGTCAAGTTGTATCCAGTACCTTGTGCGTCAAGTTGTAACCGTAGATTATCATGTGGTTGGTAACTGGATCCACTTTGGGGTGAGCTGTCATTCCGCTGCGCCACGTGTCATCAAACGAGTGGACGCCCTGAGGGAAAGCAAGGGTGTGGAAGGGGGGGGGGGGGGGGGGAGAGAGGAAGGGGGATGGAAGAAAGAGACATGAGTAAGAAAACTGCATGGCCAGAGAACTGCATGGAATAAAACTGCCCCCGGCATACATGAAGTGACCATGAGGCAGCCGTGACTTTAGAGTCGACTCAAAAGTCACTGGAGGAAGACGCACACATGAGGTGAACAAGAGGTAGCCGTGAGATAACGATGAGGTAAAAGAGTATCTGAGTGGAGTTGCTTGGTGTCGGCCGACGCGGGGATTTCTTGTTCCTTGGTTCTGAAGGTGATTTTTGAGTCGACTCAAAAATCACCTTGGTTCTGAGGGTTGAGTTGACGCGTCGAGCACATACGGCAGGCCCGCTTTCCAAAGAGAGAGGAGGCGAGCGGCAAGAAAGAGAGTACGGCAGGCCTGATTGGAGTATTTACGTGGCCTGAAGATGAGTACCTTAGTGGTGAGAGTCCACACGTCCAGGAGATATGGAAGGCCTGCTTTAAAAAGAGAGAGCATGCAACTTGCGTGGAAGAGGAGGCAAGTACCTGAGTGGACTTTTGAGGCGCCTCAAAAGACTTGGAAAGGGAGGAGGCAAGTACCCGAGTGGCTTGCAGGAAAGTACCCGAGTGGCTTGCAGGAAAGTACCCGAGTGGCTTGCAGGAAAGTACCCGAGTGGCTTGCAGGAAAGTACCCGAGTGGCTTGCAGGAAAGTACCCGAGTGGCTTGCAGGAAATTACCCGAGTGGCTTGCAGGAAATTACCCGAGTGGCTTGCAGGAAATTACCCGAGTGGCTTGCAGGAAATTACCTGAGTACCCGAGTGGCTGCTGTATCCGAGTAGCGTTGAGGGTGGATGGGTCCAGCAGATACGGCAGGCCTGCTTCCCACAGAGACAGCAGGTGACTTTTGAGTCGACTCAAAAATTACCGTAGTGTTGAGAGTAGATGGGTCCAGCAGATACGGCAGGCCTGCTTCCCACAGAGACAGCAGGTGACTTTTGATTCGACTCAAAAATTACCGTAGTGTTGAGAGTAGATGGGTCCAGCAGATACGGCAGGCCTGCTTCCCACAGAGACAGCAGGTGACTTTTGATTCGACTCAAAAATTACCGTAGTGTTGAGAGTAGATGGGTCCAGCAGATACGGCAGGCCTGCTTCCCACAGAGACAGCAGGTGACTTTTGATTCGACTCAAAAATTACCGTAGTGTTGAGAGTAGATGGGTCCAGCAGATACGGCAGGCCTGCTTCCCACAGAGACAGCAGGTGACTTTTGATTCGACTCAAAAATTACCATAGTGTTGAGAGTAGATGGGTCCAGCAGATACGGCAGGCCTGCTTCCCACAGAGACAGCAGGTGACTTTTGATTCGACTCAAAAATTACCATAGTGTTGAGAGTAGATGGGTCCAGCAGATACGGCAGGCCTGCTTCCCACAGAGACAGCAGGTGACTTTTGATTCGACTCAAAAATTACCGTAGTGTTAAGAGTAGATGGGTCCAGCAGATACGGCAGGCCTGCTTCCCACAGAGACAGCAGGTGACTTTTGATTCGACTCAAAAATTACCGTAGTGTTGAGAGTAGATGGGTCCAGCAGATACGGCAGGCCTGCTTCCCACAGAGAGAGTAGGCGACCAGCATGGAGGATGAAATGGTTGTTGGACACGTTCTTTGTCTGGTGGGGGAGAGGTGGAAAGGAAAAGGGGGGGGGGGGAAGAGGGACAGAGGGATGAAGGATCGGACCAAGAAAGTGAAAGTCGTGTGTCAAGAGAATAGACGCTTGAGAGAGGGCGAGGAGGCCGCCGGCGTGGAGGAAGAGATTCTTCTTCTTGGAAACCATCTTAGTCTACTGGGGGAAGGCAGAGAGTAGGAGATAGAGGGACGGAGGATGGAGGACAAGAGGGACAGATGGATGAGTGTTGCAAAGCAGGAGCATCCTACTGCCTGGGACCCAGCAGGCTCATTGGCAGCAGCAGCAGGTGGCGTGGCTCGCCCCCAGCGCCACCTGCTGCAGCCCGTACCAACCAACCCATACCCCCCTACAAGAAAACCGTACCCCATATAAGCACACCACTCGTTACAAACATCCTCAACATGTTCCACCTGGGTGCATCCTGCTGCCTCAGCCCCAGCAGGTTCATCGCAGCCAGCAGCAGGAGGTTCTGGGGGCGAGCCACCTGCTGCAGCTCACACCAACACAGTACCCCGTATACCCCATGTAAGCCTGCCATATACCCCCTATTAGCCTCCTCACCATGTTCCACATGGGCGCATCCTGTTGCCTCAACCCCAGCAGATCCATTGCCGCCAGCAGCAGATGGCTCGCCCCCAGCCCCACCTGCTGCAGCCCATACCAACACTGTTCCCCTTATACCCCTTATAAGCGCACCATATACCCTATAAAAGGTGCCTCACCATGTTCCACATGGGTGCATCCTGCTGTCTGAGTCCCAGCAGGTTCATCGCTGCCAGCAGCAGGTGGCTCGCCCCCAGCACCACCTGCTGCAGCCCATACCAACTATGTACTCCTTATAAGCACACCATACAATACAACCCGTACAAGGGCACTCACCATGTTCCAAATGGGTGCATCCTGCTGCCTGAGCCCCAGCAGGTTCATCGCCGCCAGCAGCAGTTGGCTCGCCCCCAGCTCCACCTGCTGCAGCCCATACCAACTATGTACCCCTTATAAGCACACCATACAATAAAACCCGTACAAGGGCACTCACCATGTTCCACATGGGTGCATCCTGCTGCCTGAGCCCCAGCAGGTTCATCGCCGCCAGCAGCAGGTGGCTCGCCCCCAGCCCCACCTGCTGCAACCCGCCAAAGAGCGCTCGCCCTGCCGCCCGCTCCTCCTGCCACCCCGTAGTGCGGATGTAGCGCCGGCTGTAGCCCACTCGAGGATGGGGAATGGCCTCCCTGGAGGAGTGAGCGTTCCCTTGGCCGGATTGAAAGTTCCCTTGAGCAGAGTGAAGGTTCTTCCCAGGAGGATGTAAGTTCGCTTGAGATGGGTGAAAGTTCACTGAGTGCACCATGCCATCCCCATCGAACCAGTGGTAGAGGGCGGGGCTGGAGGGAGGCAGCTGCGGGTTGGGGCCATTGCGGATGAACCGACCCTGCAAGCCCGAGGGAATATGGCCGATAACCTGATATACAGACACACAGACACACAGACACACAGACACACAGACACACAGGAGGGAAAAGGGAGGGTGGTAAGAACCACGAGGTAATCTAGGCGACTTGATTCAACACAATCCTCCGCATTAGGCTTCCTACTGCTTCTATACTTCTGTAATAAATTGTCCCTGTTACGCCAACCACAGTGACCCAGCAGCGCACAGCGCAGTCGAGCTCCTCACAGTGACCCAGCAGCTGACTCGCAGCGCAGTCGAGCTCCTCACAGTGACCCAGCAGCTGACTCGAAGCGCAGTCGAGCTCCTCACTGTGACCCAGCAGCACCCAACATACCAACACCCTCTTCTCTCAGTCGAGCTCATACTGACTCACAGCGCAGTCGAGCTCCTCAGGAACCTCGTTGGCCACGGGTCGAAAGTTCCCACTCAGGTACGGATTGCGAGGAGGGCTCTTGGGAGGTGCGCTGCTTGCGCTGCTCGCACCATTTGTACTACCCTGAGTTACTGTCACCCTGGCGTCAGCCGCAGCTGCTACAGCCCAGTTATCTCTAGCACCAGCAGAAGCAGGAGATGCGGAGCCGGTTTCCCCTCCAGTTGAAGTGCCAGAGATAGCAGCGCCGGAAGAGGCAGCAGCAGCAGCGGCGCCGATGACTGACAGCACGTCTGCTACACCGTGCACTGTGTGCGACGCCTGTCTGCCCGACCGCTTTAACCGCGCCCTGGTCTTCGCATTAGACGCCTCCAGCCGCGCCTTGAGATTACCGATGTCCAGATGCTCTGAATCTGCCAACTGCTTCAGACGCTCCCTGGTCTTCGCATTAGACGCCTCCAGCCGTGCCTTGAGATTACCGATGTCCAGATGCTCTGAATCTGCCAACTGCTTCAGACGCTCCCTGGTCTTCGCATTAGACGCCTCCAGCCGCGCCTTGAGATTACCGATGTCCAGATGCTCTGAATCTGCCAACTGCTTCAGACGCTCCCTGGTCATCTCATTGGACGCCTCCAGCTTCGCCTTGAGATTGCCGAGATCCAGATGCTCCAGGTACTCTGGATGCAGCAGAGAGTCCCCCAAGTCCGAGTGCATCAAGTGCTGCAGCTGCTGCAGTGTCCGCTGATTTGATGCTTTCAGGTGCTTAGACGTCCACTGGTGCCCCTCCCTCAGGTGCTTCAGGGTCCATTCGTTAGAAGCATTCAGGCGAGTTTTCAGGTGATTCAGGTTCTCCTTAGTGTGTTCGTTGGATGCCTTCAGGTGCTTTGCCGTCCACTCGTTAGAAGCATGCAGGCGTGATCTGAGGTAACTCAGATTCTCTTTGGTCCGCTGATTTGACAGCTGCAGCTGCCGCTGCACCTCGCCCAGGTCCAGATGCGCTGTGAGCCGTTGATTTGGTTGACTTGGAGCAGGCCGCACCTCTGCTGCTGCCTGCTCGTCTGTCCCATCCCCCTCACCAATCGTTCCACTCTCTCCCACCTCCCTAACTGGTTCCATCTGGTCCCCTTCACTCTCTCCTGTTTCTCCCGTATCCCTATCATCATCATCATCAGCAGCAGCAGCAGCAGCAGCAGCAGCAACCAGCGGCAGCCGGGAACCATAGCTGAAGCGGTTTCTCCTGTTCTTACTGCTGATTCTGGACAGAGCAGGGTTGGAGGAGGCACGAGGCTTGGACAGGCCGGACGGACCCATCCACTCCGACGAACCTCGCCTGATGCTAGGAGAGTGCATAGAGTGCACGGTGGGCCAAGGGGGAAAGCTTGTACGGTGGAGATTGGCCGTGGCGATCCGACGGCGAGGAGGAACGGGATTTGTGAGGGAACGAGTCGACGTGGAACGAGACGACGTGGAAGGGGAGGAGAGAGAGGGAAGACGAGAGCTCTTGGGTCGTGAAGCGGAGATTAAGCCGGAGTTGGCGGTCATCAGAGCTGTCAGAGACGCCATGGCTATGAGGCGGGTTGATAATCAGGTCAGGACAAGAACAGAAGGATGCAGGGGCTTCAGTCAGCAGAAATCCCTCGAATTTGTCACAAACGAATTTATCACAAATTTCACCGAATACCGCCTTCCCAGTTCCTGTATAGTCTTCCTCCGTTCTTGTGTTGAGCAGACACGATTCCGGAACCCGTGCAAACAGACATCCAGCCGAGATCAGACTTTAAACCAGGTTCGCAACTCCAGGTTCGCTCCAGGCTCCCAACTCCAGCAGCGGGTGAATTGCTCCGTGAAAAGGAGCTCTTGATTCCTCGGGGATTCTTGAGACTCAACGGGGAAGCACGATCACATCTCCAAGGAATTCCAAGGAATTCCAAGGACCGAACCGCTGCCAGTGGCGACGCGACTGCGTTCGGAAAGCGGTTCGTTCGTAGGAAAATGATACAGAATCGGCGGCTCGGCTGGCTCTCCCCCATTCGGGAATCAGGTTGCGCTGGCGTCATGACACGCGTCAACGCCTGGTTAGTGGGGTCCGCCATGGCCGCTGCAAGTGCTGCGCTGGATGAACCTGGCCACACTTGTCGCTTACAGGAACCGACGCCTTACACGGTTTGCCTGATGCAAGCTGGATGACATTCGTCACGACGACTAGTCGGTGAAATTCCACAAATGCGAGTGTGACAAGTGTGAGTTGCACGGATCACACGAGTGTGAGTCACACGGGCCAGGCTAGGTGTGTCTGACACCACTTGCTGAATGCTAGCTGGCCGTCAGACACGCTGCTGAGCACGTGGAAGGACGTTTGGAAAAGACGAGGCTGAAGCCGAACTAATAACTCTTTTAAAATGTTCTAGTTGTACTTTACTGCTGTCGTTCAAGCCGGTGTAGCTCAGTGGTAGAGCATCTGTCTTGTAAACAGAAGGTCCAGAGTTCAATCCTCTGCGTCGGCAAGTCTTTTTCACCTTTCGGTCCCTGGCCCACGCAATGGGCCACTCTGGCAAGGTCCTCCAATCACAAGGTTGCTCCTCCCGGATGTTGGCGAGAAGGAGTGGACGACAGGCGATCTTGAGAGACCCCCCCCCCCCCCCCACGTATCTTCGCACCTTGGCATTGCAGCCTGGTGGTGGAGGTGAATGAATGAATGCTGTCTCGCAGCGCGGCATAATCCATGCTCCCTGGCGTGGAGTGACCATGGTGAATCCTAACGTCGGACGAGGAGAAATTACAATGCTCCTCAAATTAGCCTACCTGTGATCTGCTTCTCGTACATAGTTCCTTTCTACAGACACTAATTACTATGCGTTTCGAATTCCCTTGACTTTGACACAACACATCGAATGCTCCTTGGTTTCTGAATCACCCGTTGGTCCGCGTTGTAGGTGCAGGGAGATTTTGCGGGTAGCTGTCTCGTATTGCCAGATTCAGCTGACTCTAAAACCGTCATTTTGTTTCCGTTTCAAGGCGGCTTGAACGGGTCTCGTATACTTCGCCACATTTAGTAACAGCAGTGTCGTGTTCGCTCATCCACGACCATTGTCGCAGCCTTTCGCAACACCACAAAATGGCCTCGTTCCTGCTTCACTACTCTCGACCGTCGCCTCTTAGACCTCAGCAGAACTCTTCTGCAGCCCGCCTCGAGAGTAGATCGCTACGCCTTAATGTAGTACCCTTACGATGGCCGTTGAAGGTGCATGCCAGCAGCAGTCGTGAGAGCAGTGGTAGCAGCATCGGTAACAACAGTGATAACAGCATTTCCAACCCTGGAAGTGATCATAACGACGGCTACATCTCCGTGAAGTCAGTCACATTTCCCGCGAAAACAGTCACATTTCCCGCGAACCTTCGGTCTCACCTCCAATCAGCAGCCTCGCGGATTCTCCTTCCCTCCCTGCTCGCGGCGTCGCTCCTCACCACCGAAGCCATGCTACCACCTCACCAGTCCATACTGCCACCTCAGCAGTCTGCTGAGGCGTCGCCTGCAGCTGACGTGGCAGGGGTGGGCCTGCAGTGGTCGTGGTTACCGTTGGGCGGCATCGGCAGCGCGAGTGCGAATGGGTTGCTTCAGATGCCGCCGATCGAGCTGAAAAACACGTGCGTGATGCGATTGTGTGAAGTGTGATTGTGTGTGACTGTGTTGAGTGCAACGGTGTTGAATGTGACAGTTGCGAAGGCTCCAATTCTTTCCTCCAACACGACGGCAGTCCAGGCAGGTGTGGTCCACACCAACCCAGAGGACAAGACAAACTTGCAGTGTGGCCTTTCAAGGGAGGGCAACTCCGCCACCGCCCCCCCCTCCCCTTCCCCCCACACACCCCCCCCTTCCCACCTCCCCCTTCCCACCTCCCCCTTCCCTTCCCAATCCTTTTCTCCCCTCTTTCCCATTCCAGCTACCAGCTACTACTTGGTCCTGGCAGGCGAGTCAGAATGGGAAGCCGCAGGGCTGATCCACACCAACCCGACCCGGTGGACAAGACACACGTGCAGAGCGGGCTGTCAGGGGAGGGCAAGAAGCAGGCTAAGCGTCCGCACCCCCTCCATTCCCCCTCCCCCTGTTCTTCCCCCCCTCCAGCTACTACCTAGTGAGAGCAGGCGAGTCGGAGTGGGAAGCCGCAGGGCTGATCCACACCAACCCGGTGGACAAGACAAACGTGCAGAGCGGGCTGTCAGGGGAGGGCAAGAAGCAGGCTATTGAAGCTGCCAGGAAGCTGCGGAAGATGGACGCCTGTGGCGCCGGGTGCTGGATCTGGCCGTCCATTTCTCAGCGGGCGTATCAGACGGCTGAGGTCGTTGCATACGTCAATGGCGCGGATTACAGGTGCGTTGGCAGTCTATTCTCTAGGCGCCTCAAAAATGCACCCCTCCGTTGGCAGTCAGGGAAGATGTGTGATTAGTAAGAAGTGTTGTTAAGTGCAGTGTGACACCTATCAAGTCCAACTCACCTGCAGTGTGGCTGCTCTCTGGACGCCAGAGGGCTGTTCAGAGCCCCTCAGCCGCCGTTCAGAGCCCCTCAGCCGCCGTTCTGCCATACACCCAACCATGCTCTGAACCCTTATCCCTCTACCTCCCCCCGCTCTAAACCCCCCACCAGGCGCATTGTGCCAGAGAACAGCCTTCCGAGTGCCAGGGGGTTACTCTGAACCCTGAACCCTGAACCCTGAACCCTGAATCCCTAAATCCGCAATCCCCGTTCTTCCCTGATACCCCCCGAACCCCCTACCAGCCGCATTGTTCCGGAGTACAGCTTTCTCGACGCCAGGGGACTGGGGGCGTTTGAGGGGCAGCCGCTGGAGGCAACGAAAGAGGTGGGTTTGGGGGGGGATGAGGGTCAGGGGATCAGTTTAAGGGACGTGGGGTTTGCTGTGCTTTCTCCATGCTAGGGGACTTTTGAGGCGCCTCTAAAGTCTCCATGCTAGGGGACTGGAGGCGTTTGAGGGGCAGCCGCTGGAGGCGATGAAAGAGGTGGGGAACGACGGAGGGATCTGGGGGGAGAGTTGCGGAGAAGAGGGAGCCAGGGAAGGTGAGGGCTGGGTGCCTGCGCTTTCTCGATGCTAAGGGACTGACTGGGGGCGTTTGAGGGGCTGGGGTCTGGAGCTTCTGGAGACAATGCGAGAGGTAAGGAGAAGGGGGGGAGGGAGGGATGGGCGCGGGGAGAGAGGTGAGGAGAAGAGCGAGGGGAGGACGGGGGGAGCGAGGGGAGGACGGGGGGAGCGAGGGGAGGACGGGGGGAGCGAGGGGAGGACGGGGGGAGCGAGGGGAGGACGGGGGGAGCGAGGGGAGGACGGGGGAGCGAGGGGAGGACGGGGGGAGCGAGGGGAGGACGGGGGGAGCGAGGGGAGGACGGGGGGAGCGAGGGGAGGACGGGGGGAGCGAGGGGAGGACGGGGGGAGCGAGGGGAGGACGGGGGAGCGAGGGAGGAGGGGGAGCGAGGGGAGGACGGGGGGAGGGGGGGGGGGAGCGAGGGGAGGACGGGGGGAGCGAGGAGAGGAGTGACCTGGGTGGGTGCAGGCTGCTTTCGAGACGCCAGGGGGCTGGGATCGCTTGAGGAACAGCAGCTGGAGACGACGAGAGAGGGGGTGGTCACAGGGAGACATGGGGAAGGGAGGGAGGCAGGGATGGAAAGGATTGCAGAAGGGATGAGAGGGAGGTTGGCTTTGAGCTGAGAACCTTCTCGTGCCCTTCCTTTCCCCTTGCCGCCCATCATTACTCCCCGTCTTGTCTCAGGTGTACCGTGTACTTAGATGCTTCTGCATCGTCAGTAGGTGCCCTCTCCCCTTCTCTGTGATTGCCCCTCAGGGGAGTGTGGCAGACGTGCTAGTGCTCTCCTCTCCCATTCCCTGCTCCCCCCCACGCTTCCCCCCCCTGCACACACCTCATATCCAGGTGCACGTGAGGACCTTATCTCATCCCCATGGCGCGCTCCCCCTTTGTCTGAAAGCACGTTGCTGTAGATGATTATAAAGAGGTTTCAATCAAGCGTCTAAGACGCCTGAAGCACGAGTGTGACCTCCCCCTTTCGCTGCTGGAACGCCTCATAAGCACGTGGCGGACGAGCTCGTTTGTGCTCCCCTTCGTCTCACCCCAACCCCCTCTTACTCCCCCCAACCCCCCGCCCCCCTGCCCCCCCGCACAGCAGATACCTCCTCTCCATGTTGACTCAAAAGCAGCCCCCCTTTTAATCCCCCCTTCTCCACCCCCCGCACAGCACATACCTCCTCTCCTTGTGTATCTAGTGAGCTGTGTGTCTTCAAAATGCCGCCCTTCCCCCCTTCTCTGTCGAGTGGCAGATGTGGTTGTGCTCCCCCACCGCTCCCACCGCTCCCACCTCTCCCCCACCGCTCACCACCTCTCCCCCACTGCTCACCTCTCCCCCACCGCTCACCTCTCCCCCACCTCTCACCTCTCCCCCACCTCTCACCTCTCCCCCACCTCTCGCCTCTCCCTCACATCCAGTGGACTCTGTGTGAAAAAAAGGCGCCTTCCCCCCTTCCCTGTCGAGTGGCAGATATGGCTGTGCTCCCCCACCGCTCCCACCTCTCCCCCACCGCTCACCACCTCTCCCCCACTGCTCACCTCTCCCCCACCGCTCACCACTCCCCCGCCTCTCACCTCTCCCCCACCACTCGCCTCTCCCTCACATCCAGTGGACTCTGTGTAAAAAAAAAAGCGCCTTCCCCCCTTCTCTGTCGAGTGGCAGATGTGGTTGTGCTCCCCCTCAACTCCCCCACCAGCCCACGATCTAGAGGACTCTGTATCATCCAAATGCCCGTGATTTTGCAGGGTGTTCTTGAGAATTATAAAAAAACACCCTGCAAAGTCTAGAGGACTCTGTGTCATCCTAATGCCCCCCTCCCCCCTTCTCTGGCGGAACCCCCCAGGAGAGCGTGGCAGAAGAGCTCGTGCATGGATGACTCAACTCTCCCCCTTCTCTTCCTCCCCCTCCCCGCACACCCGCCTTATTTCCAGGCCCCTACCTGCCTGTGTCATCCTCCCTGCACGTGTCAGAGTCCTCAACTCTCCCCCTTCTCTTCCTCGAGGACTCTGTGTCATCCAGGTGGCGCCCTCCCCCCTTCTCTGATGGAACCCCCCACGAGAGCGTGGCAGACGTGCTCGAGCTCCCCTTCAAACCCATCCCCACCCCTCAACACCCCCCCCACCTCCTTCCCGCCACCTATCCCCCATTTCCAGGTGTACCTAGACGACTCTGTGTCATCACGGTGGCGCCCTCCCCCGTTTTCTGACGGAACGCCTCACAAGAGCATAGCAGATGTGCTCGTGTGCGTGTCTGAGCTCCCCCCCTTTCCGCCTTCCCCCTCCCTGCACACACGTCTCATTTCCAGGTGTACCTAGACGACTCTGTGTCATCACGGTGGCGCCCTCCCCCGTTTTCTGACGGAACGCCTCACAAGAGCGTAGCAGATGTGCTCGTGTGCGTGTCTGAGCTCCCCCCCTTACCACCTTCCCCCTCCCTGCACCCACGTCTTATTTCCAGATATACCTAGAGGACTCTGTGTCATCACGGTGGCGCCCTCCCCCCTTCTCTGATGGAACCCCCCACGAGAGCGTGGCAGACGTGCTCGTGCGCGTGACTCAGCTCATGTCGATCCTTGAGACGCAGTATTCCAGGGAGGCGGTGGTGATTGTGTCTCCGGACTCGGATTGTCTCTCCGTGCTGCAATCCGCGTTGATAGGAAAGGACATCAGGAGGTGAGCCAGGAGTCGAACTTGGTGTGTGCGCGTGTGACTCAGCTCATGTCGATCCTCGAGACGCAGTACTGTCTCCGGACTCGGACTGTCTCTCCGTGCTGCAATCTGCTCTGATTGGCAAGGACCTCAGAAGGTAGGTGCGCTGGTCGGGAGAAGCTCAGTATGTGCAGTCATTGTTTAGAATTCTAAAAAATGACTCCACGTGACGCAGCTCATGTCGATTCTTGAGACGCAGTACTCCAGGGAGGCAGTGGTGATCGTGTCTCCGGACTCTGACTGCCATTCAGTCCTGCAGTCTGCCCTTGTGGGGAGAGACCTCAGAAGGTAGGTTCGCTGGTAGGGAGAAGAGCGTGGCTCAGCTTGTGTCGATCCTCGAGACGCAGTATTCCAGGGAGGCGGTGGTGATCGTGCTCCAGACTCTGGCTGTCTCTCCGTGCTGCAATCCGCGTTGAGAGGAGATTACCTCAGCAGGTGCGTCGCTTTGGCATGCATGTGGGAGAAGCTAGGCTTGCTGACTTGTGATTCACACGTGACGCAGCTCATGTCGATCCTCAAGACCCAGTACTCAATGGAGGCGGTGGTGATCGTGTCTCTGGACTCTGACGGCCTTTCTGTGGTGCCATCTGCCTTAAAAGGAAAGGCCCTCAGAAGGTACGCCAATAGGGATGTAGTGGCAGCTCATGTCAATCCGTGAGACGCAGCGCTCAAGAGAGGCAGTGGTGATTGTGTCTCCGTACTCTGTCTGCCTCTCCGTGCTGCAGTCTGCTGTTGTGGGGAGAGACCTTGGAAGGTAGGTTCGCTGTTAGCGAGGGATGATGCTGGGAATGTGCGTGTACCTTGGCCAGGGTGTGTGTGAAAATTCTCAAAAACAGAAGGTGGGTTTGCTGGTAGGTTCGCTGGTTGGTTCGCTGGTAGGTTCACTGGTAGGTTCGCTGGTGGGGAGGAGAGACCTCAGAAGGGGGTTCGCTGGTAGGGAGGGAGGGTGCGTGTACCTTGTCAATCAGCGAGACCCAGCAGTACTCATGTCAACCCTTGGGAGGCAGCACTTGAGGTTGGTGAACGGGGGGGCCATCTCTATATCGCGACCAGAGATTCAGCTCGTGTGGGTCCTTGAGACCTGCGCTCAAGCAGCAGCAACGACGGCCCCCCTTTCCCTGTTACAGTGGAGCCATTTTTTAGAATTCTAAAAAAAGGTGCAGCTCATGTGGGTCCTTGAGACCTGCTTTCAAGCAGCAGCAACAACGGCCCCCCTTTCCCTGTTACAGTGGAGTCATTTTACAATTCTAAAAAAAAGCTCAGCTCGTGTGGGTCCTTGAGACCTGCTTTCAAGCAGCAGCAACAACGGCCCCCCTTTCCTGTCCATTCTTCTGTTGCCTCCCCACTCGCCTTTTGCCCCTCCGCCCTTTTCCTTTCCCTCCCTTTCCTTTCCCCCCCTTGCCTTTCCCCCCTTGCCTTTCCCCCCCTTGCCTTTCCCCCCTTGCCTTTCCCCCCCGTCCCTTCCTCCAGCCACAGTGACACATATTTCCAGCCTGAGGAGGTGAGGAGGGGCGACATCAGCAACAATAATAGTGTGCCACTCCCCACTTCCACTTTCCTTTCACTCACTTCCACTCCCTCCCCTCTGCTGTCCCTTCCTCAAGCAGCAGTCACACACATTTCCAGACGTGATCCCAGATTCTAGTTTTGAGGCGCCTCAAAACTAGACTCCTATCAAGCAGTAGTCACACACATTTCCATACATGATCCCAGAGAGCAGCATTATTTAACGAGGTGACTTTTGAGTCGACTCAAAAGTCACATGATCTCAGCGAGCAGCATATTTTTTAGGCGCCAGCCTAAAAAATAGACCCCTTTCTCCAGCCACAGTGACACAAATTTCCAGCCTGGGAAGGTGAGGGAATTCCGTTGCCTTCATATTCCTTTCCCTCCCCTTCCCTTCCTCCACCACAGTGAAATATGTGTAATGAGTCGATTTTTGAGTCGACTAAAAAATCGACTCATTCCACCACAGTGAAATATATTTCCACCCTCTCCCCTTCCTCCCTTAGCTGGGCAGTCTATTTTTGAGGCGCCTCAAAAATAGACTTCCTCCCTTAACTGGGTAGCTAAGATGTGGAGATGAACATCAGCAACAGCGCGCCCACTCTCCCTCTCCCCTCGTCCGTTGCCTTCCTTTTCCTTTCTCTCCATTCCCTTCTCCATCCGTAGTGACTTGTACTTCCAGCCCGGGGAGGTGAGACAGGTGGACATCAGCTAGAATGTGTCCCGTTACTTCCTTTCTCCCCCTTTCCCACTCTCCACGTCCGTTGCCTTCCCTTTTCGTTCCCTCAACTTCGTCCCTCCCTTCCCTTCCCTTCCCTTCCCTTCTCCAGCCATAGTGACTTGTACTTCCAGCCTGGGGAGGTGAGGCGAGTCGACATCAGCAACAACGCTCCACCCCCTCCAATGTCTGGTCTCATCTCCCTCAACATGGTCAAGGGATGAGTAGCAAGCCATGCACCTACGTCTGACACTGTGCACAATGTGGTGTTTAAGGTGCAGACGAGTGTTCATGTGTTGCACCAAACAAAGATACTTGTGACAGTGACCCTAAAAAGTCTGGTGCTCTTATGTAAATGCTGTACCCAATATTGAGACAAAAAGGAGATTGGCACAGAACACAATGAAAGGCCGTTCACTGTGATGTGGCCAACACACATGCAACTTTATTCTTGGCAGAGAGCTCTAGGCTGTGATACGTATGTCCAGCCTTGCCTTTATTAATGCATACCCCCCCCATTGCTCTCCAGCTCTCGAGCGGCTTATCCTTTCTTCTGAGACCCCCTTTTCTTCTCGTTCTGCCACTCCCGTATAGCTGAATGAAAGGCTCCGGCGCCCACAGCTTCCATCCCCTATGATCCCCTTCACCAAGCTAGCCCTCGGCTTGTGCCCCCGCTCCCTGCTCCCCTGGGCATCATCTCTAGACTAGGGATTCCGGATGACCCCCTTTCTTCACGTCATACCACTCCCCCAGTAGAATGAACGGCTCGGGCGCCCACGGCTTGCTTGCCATTGCCGATGATCCCCGGCTTTACCCATTTAGCTCTCGGCTTGTATGCGCCCCCGGCCCTCCCTCCCCAGTGCTTCCTTCTTTTCTACTAGGGATATCTGATGACCCCCTTCTTCACGTCATACCACTCCCCCAGCTGGATGAACGGCTCCGGCGCCCACGGCTTGCCATCGCGGATGATCCCCGGCTTCACCCATTTCGCTCTCGGCTTGTATGCGCCCGGCCCCTCGCTGTCCTTCTCAGCATAGTACACACACTTGCCGTAGGTGTCTCCATTCCACGTGCTCCAACCGTCCTTGTTGATTTGCTGATGGGGGGAGGGTGGGGGTTAGAGCGGAGGGATGGGTGCGGGCGTTACACAAGAGCCTTTTGGTTTGCGTGTACCCGGCCCCTCGCTGTCCTTCTCAGCATAGTACACACACTTGCCGTAGGTGTCGCCATTCCACGTGCTCCACCCATCCTTGTTGATTTGCTGATGGGGGGAAGATAAGTGGGTTCTGGAATAGGGGTGAAAATAGGGGATGATAAGATAAGTGGGTTCTGGGCAGAGAAGATAAGTGGGTTTTGGATGATCATTCTTCACCCCTATTTTAGGAGTCATTTTTCGAGAATTCTAAAAAATGTCAACTGGGATGATGTTGGGGAACAGTTGAGCAATGGGGTGGAACAGGTGAGCAATGGGGTGGAACAGGTGTGCAATGGGGTGGAACAGGTGAGCAATGGGGTGGAACAGGTGGGCAATGGGGTGGAACAGGTGAGCAATGGGGTGGAACAGGTGTGCAATGGGGTGGAACAGGTGAGCAATGGGGTGGAACAGGTGGGCAATGGGGTGGAACAGGTGAGCAATGGGGTGGAACAGGTGAGCAATGGGGTGGAACAGGTGGGCAATGGGGTGGAACAGGTGAGCAATGGGGTGGAACAGGTGAGCAATGGGTTATCAAACAGACGGCTGAAGGGTCTGAGGGTTAAATGGATTGGAAAGGAGGGGAGGGGGAAGACCCAGGGATCAACGGCATGCAGATGAGCGTTGTCTCTAGCTTACCTTGGGAAGGTACGTCTGAATATAGACCGTACGCGCACATTTCTTCCAAGGGCGTCCCAAGTAACCGTTTGTAACACCCTTCTCCGCGGTTACAAACGAGTATCGAATCACGATCCCCGTGGGCGTTTCGCTCTCTCTCCCCGACGCGGTGATCGGAATGTTGGATTTCCCCGCGCGCATCTCGATCGTACAATTCTCAATCTCCGCCGCAGCATTTCCGAAGATAAAATCCGTGAATCCCGAAATGAAACTGTTTCGGTAGTATTGCCGACCGGAGTGGGTGTAGAGCGTGTCCTGGTAACCAGTAGCGGAGCAGTCATAAATGACGGTTTTATCCGCGTCGATCATAAGCGCCACGGCCTGGTTTCCAGAAGGCCCCGCAGTGTTTTCAAACTTGATTCCCGCTGCCTGAAAATAGTTTCTCTTGACACCTGAAGGGTGAGGAAAAAGCGCGAAAGGGAGAAAGGGAGGAAGGGAGGAAGGGAGAAAGGGAGGAAGGGAGAAAGGGAGGAAGGGAGAAAGGGAGGAAGGGAGAAAGGGAGGAAGGGAGAAAGGGAAGGGAAGAAGTAGAGATGACAGGGGTTGGGAAATTGGAACGGGAGGGGAAAGAATCCCCCGAATAAGCGAGTGACAGAGAGGCGCTATAATTGGGAGATAATAATCCAAGGCGCCTTTCCAAGGCGAGTGAGTTAACGATAGCTACTCGGATAGTTGATTGAAACACTCACTGACTGTCGCCGTGTTGTAGGTGGTAAACCCGCCAGCCACGCTGTCCTTCCCCGTTATAATCGTCTTCGTCATGCCGTCTCCCACGAAAATCACGCCCTCGCGGTTCACCACGAGCTTCTCCTTATACGTCCCCGCCTTGATGTACACCACGTACAGCCCCGTTTTCGGAGCTGCTTTTAACGCGTCCGAGATCTTCTTGTACTTCTCGTTCTTCCCCACCACCGCATTCGGCTTCAGCTTCTTGACTTTCGCAAGCTGAAGCTTCCGCCTGGATTCCCCCATCAGCCCCCGCCTCGTCCGCCCGAATAGCTTCCCCCAAATCCCTCCGCCAGCCGCATCCGCCTCCTCCGCGTCCGCCAGGCCGAGCCCGAGCGCTTTCCGCCCGCGCTCCACCCACGCCTCCGCCTCCGCGTGATCCCCCTGCATCCGCGCCTGAAGCTCCCTAATCTGCTCGTACATTCCCGGCTCGACCCACGGGGGCAGCTTCCCCGGACCTCCGCTGTCTCCTAAAGTCTCGCGGCGGGGGGGAGTCTTTTGCGCGGATCGGGCGGAGTGGAGCGCGAGAGCGATGGCGGTGTCGAAAGTTTTCTTGAGATTGTGGCCGTGGGCTTTGAGCGACTTCCCCGGGTGCGACTTGTATGTGTCGAGCGAGAATTCCCAGATGCCGTCGAGACACGTCGCGAGCTGGTCCCGCGCCGCGGTGACCCAGAACGGCACGTCCTCGTCGTTGGTGCGCGCCTTGAGCGCCGCTGCTGCCTTGGCGAGATGATACAGGGCGTTCGCGGTCTGAGGAAACGCCGCGCAGGGAGCGGGCAGAGGGAGGGAGGGAAATGGGTTCGTTTCATTTTAGTTTTGAGGCGCCTCAAAACTAGACTCCTATCACGCGGGCAGAGGGAGGGAGGGAAATGGGTTCGTTTCTCAAAGCTCGGAGAAAACCGAGGCTCCTCGGCGGAAATGGGAAATGCGTTTCCTCCAAGGCTCCTCGGAGAAAACGCCGCGCAGGGAACGGGCAGGGGAGGGAGAAACAACCGCAAGAGACGCGATTCAGTGTGTGCGGAGGTCAGAGAAATGCGAGGCTCTGCGTCCGACGTTCTGCTCTGCTCTGAGTCTAAGCAAGACGGAAGAAGCTTATAAGGAGGGGATATGATCTAGGACGGCACTGCGGCCGGTATCTTACCAGATCAAGGCAGTCGGTTGTGACGGCGTCTGACATGTTCACTGTACTGCGGCTCTTCTTTATCGCGGATACTCTCGCAAGCACCACCTGCATTCCCGCCGTGATGTTCGCCACCAGTCCCGGCGCGAGCTCGCTCTGCGGAGCGGGAAGCGCGCCGAGCTTGCGCCGCACGTCGCGGAGCTGCTCGACGCAGTAGCGCGGATCGGACGTCTCGGCGCAGAACGCGGGGTGGCGCAGGATGTAGTAGTTGTCGACGGCGTGACACGTGGCAAGGACGGCGATTACAGCCAGGGCGAAGCCTGTCGCTCCCCACGCAAGCCTACGGACCAGATGGGACTGCGGAGCCATGGCTCCGAGCTGGGAAGATGGCGCTGGGTTACACAACCAGGGAGGAGCCGAAGAGTGAAAGGTCAAGTCGAAACGGGTGAAGAGTTTGGATACGGGGTTGGGGGGAGATGTACGACTGTGCTTGTCTATGCAATCTCACGGAAAGATGGCCTTATACTGATGAAGTACGGACATATCTAGCGAGGAGCGCGGTGGAAGCCTGAAACCTCAGTGAAAGTTCGGAAGCTCGTAAAGCACGTACAATCCACTATCAGGGCCACGTAAAGCTTATGGTGGCTGGCACCATCTTCCGCCGTGGAATGCTCCATTGCACGTCGAGAGAAAGGCTGCACAAGTGCCGCGCGTTTTGACGAGGCACTCCTTACGTGGGTGAAAGTGCTCCATTCCAAAAATGGAGATTGGAGCGAAATCGAGCCGCACATTTGACAATGAGTGCGGCGTTGGAGCCGCGTTCGCCTCCCCCCCCAGCCCAATAAAATATCAACTTTGGTTATTTCTGTTACGGGGTGTTATGATATAGGAAGTGTCAATGAAATATTACGTGAGAATACAAGGTCGCTATTGCAATGAAGGCACGAGGTTATATAGGGGTTGGCATGCTTGGGCGATAACATCGGAACGTGGGTAGGTTCGGCAATTTGGCGACAGTGCCGGACCCGGCGCGGGAAAGGGTTGGGCCGACAAATGAGGCCGAACGTGACGAGTAGAGGAGTTCGGGTGTACGCGCTAGCGTACGACTCAGTAAGGAATGGAAATTCTTTACACTACCCCCCCCCCCCCCCCCCCCCCCCCCTCCTCCTAAACGAGGCCGCGGGCATTGGAAACATTCCGACGCTGATAATACGCTGATAGAATCGGGTGTGATTCTATATCAGCGAGGGGCACCCAGCTGTCATCCTCAAACGTCCGATCGCGCCATCTGACGAGAAAATCCACCATTCGTCGATTCTGCTGCGTCGTGACTCGATGGCCGAGAATCTTCAAGGGCTCAATCGTCGGTTCCTGCAGGGGCGTCAGCTGCGGTACGATTCGCTGACGTGCCAAATCTGACGAACAGGGGACGTAGGGTTGTAGTAGGCTGAAGTGGAAAGCCGGGTGGTGACGCCAATCCGCCGGGAGTCGGAGGTGAGCGGTGACAGGTGTCACCATATTGGTCACTTGAAAAGGGCCACAGAATCAGGGTTGGAGTTTGCTCGGGATCGGCAGTCGCAAATTGCGAGTGTCGAGTAGTACGAGATCTTCCACTTTGTAAGTGACGTCACGTCGATGACGATCGGCTTGTCGGCTTGCGACCAGGTTGGCTTTCCAGATTGCCTCAGCTGCTTTTTTCCGGACTACGAGGATGTCTTCGGCAAATCGTTGGGACCGGGGCACGGGGTCTCAATGTTTGGTGTAGAGGGTACCACGGGGTCCTGTCCGTAATTTAGGAAAAATTGGGAATGATGGGTTGTGGCGGAAGGCGCGTTATTATACGCGAATTCCAGCAGCGGAAGAGATTTCTCCCATGTCTGTGGGTCAGTGCAGGTAGTCCAAATGAGTTGCTCCATAGTTTGGTTGACTCATTCGGTCTGCCCGTCAGTCTGTGGGTGGTAGGCTGAGGAAAACTGTAATATGGTGCCGAATTGGTCCCACAGGTGGCGCCAGAAATTCGATGTGAATTTCGGGTCTCGGTCTGAAATAATGGCGGTGGGCAGTCCGTGCAATCTGATGACGTTGGCGATGAACAGTTGGGCAGTTTGCTCCGCTGTAATTTTCTGTTGGCAGGCGATGAAGTGCGCCATTTTCGTGAGTCGGTCAACGACCACGAGGATGGCGTCGTTTCCGCTGGGACCGGCCGGCAGTCCTGTCAGGTAGTCCATCGTGATATGTTGCCAGGGTCTCTCTGGCGGATCCAACGGTTGTAAGAGTCCGGCAGCTCGCTGATGGGATGATTTCATAAACTGGCAGGCGGTGCAGGAGGACACATACTTGCGCACATCGTCGGCCATGTTCGGCCAGTAATAATTGCGTTGCAACATCTTCATGGTTTTGTCGACTCCGAAATGCCAGAAGGTAGGATTGTCGTGGGATTCCTGGATTAGAAGGGTACGAAGTAAATCGCAGCTGGAAACCCAGATGCGGGAAGTGTCGCGCTTATTAAAGTAGTGTCCGGTAGCGGTGGTATGCTGTTGGTGAATGGAGGAGCGAAAGAATGGGTCGATTTTGTAGCCGTGGGTAAATAGTCCGGTAAGGAGTGGGCTGGTTTGGGTAACTAGTCTGGCGGCTGTATGGGCAATGGGTCGGGTCAGGGCATCAGCAATGTTGTTGGCGCCCCGCTTGTAGGTGATGATGTAGTGGAATTTTGATTCCAGGAAATCGAGCCATCGGATTTGTCCCGCATTGAGATTCGGTTGGGTTCGCAAGTACTAGAGGGATTTGTGGTCAGTCCGCACAATGACGTTAGCACCTGTCAGGTAGCATCGCCAGGTCTTGAACGCGTGGACGATCGCAAACATTTCCTTATCGTATATTGTATATTTTTTCTCTGCACCCTGCAGCTTCCGTGATTCGTAGGCGACGTAATTGACGAATCAAAAAAAAATCTACAGCTCTTTGATGTTGCTTGGCGTCTTCCATTCTTGTGTGGTCTTGATTTTCTTGGGGTCGATTTTCACTCCTTCGGTATAGACGATGTGGCCCAGAAATTCCAACTCGTGTTTAAGAAATTTGCACTTATACCCTTTGGTGGTGAGGCAATTCTTGTGCAGCAGCATGAAGACTGCATCAAGATCTTGTAAGTGCTGCTCCCTGCTGCAGCTGTAGATTAGTATGTCGTCGAGGTAGATGATGACGCATTTGTCCAAGAGTTCCCTGAAAATTCCATTCATGGTCGTTTGGAAGGTCGAGGGCGCGTTCGTGAGGCCAAAAGGCATCACCAAGTACTCGTAGCTGCCGTAGCGGGTTCGACATGCTGTCTTGTGACAAGCTTCAGCGACAACGCAAATCTAATAGTAACCTCATCGCAAGTCGATTTTCGAGAAAAACTTGGCGCCGCGAAGTTGGTCGAGAAGTTCGTCGGCTCGCGGGATCAGGTAACGCGACTTGATGGTGATACGGTTGAGCCCGCGGTAGTCAATGCACATTCTAAATCCTCCATCCTTCTTCGGCATGAACAGTATCGGGGCGGTGTATGGTGACGTGCTAGGCCGGATAAATCCTTTCGCGAGAAGGTAATTCAGCTGTTGCTGTAATTCTTCCAGTTCTTGTTGGCTGAGCCGAAATTGGCGCTGTACCGTTGGTTGGGCGCCTGGTTCCAGCTCGATTCGGTGGTCCTCAGGTCGGCTCGGTGGGAGTCCAGCTGGTAGATCGTCTGGGAAAATCTCTGGGTATTTCCAAATCAGGTCCACTAAGTCCGGAGGGACGGCCTTGCACAGCTTCTCGATATCTTCGGTCTCGACCGTCGATGTCACCTCGCGAGGCTCAATGGCGTACGCTGCAGCTCCAGCTTTTATCGCGCGTTTGAAAGTGATCGCGTGGACTTGGGTGCTTTGCATGCGAAGCCCCGTCCACTTGGGCAGCTCGCTGGAAATCCCATCGAGCTTGATGCTGCAGCTGCCCGTCGTCCAGTCAATCTTTGGGTTGTACCGTCACAGCCAATCACGTCCAGCAGCACGTCGCACCCGTCGAGAGTAGTCGCCAATAGTCCCATCCGAAATTTTACATGCCCCCCCCAGGTAAAACCAACGTTCTCCACTCGTTCCCGTATTGCCAGTGGTGTTCCGTCCACCAGTCGGGCATCGATTTCAGGTAGACACTTGAGTAAGGGTATACCCAATTTTTTAGCCCTATCCAGTTGTATGAGACTGTGCCTCACGCCTCCATCAACAAATATCTTCAATAACACCCCATTGAATTTACCCCCCACCAACACAAGATGATCAGCAGTTTCGTCGCCCTTATTCGTCCAGATCCGGTCGATGTTAGCAATCAAGTTCACGACCTAGTGGGGACTGTGTGGTTCGGGCAAAGAAGCCTGCCCGTTAGTAAGGGGCCAAGTACTTACTGACGCGACCCATTTCCCAGTCGCTCCTCCAGCTTCTTCCCCATAGAATTCTGGAGGGCTATGAATTCTAGGCAGTTGCGTCGGATGTGACCCGGCCAGCCATAGTGGTAGCATAGCCCCGTATTTCGCGGAGCAACTACGTAAATATCCATTGCATCCACCCCTTTTATCGTGACGCGCTGATACTGTTCTCGAGGGTGACCTCCGTCGTAGAAGTTCATCCTCGGCTTCGTGATCGAATCACCGGCTTCGGCGAGCTGGATGTAGTGTTGTAACCACTTCGCAGGGCGTTGAAGTTTTATTTGGTACTGTATTTAGGGCTTCAAGCCGCCTGTGTACCTGTCGACCTTCTCCAGCTTGTCCATGTAGCCACATCTGTCCACCAACGTTAGGAACGACGCGGTGTACTCGGACATAGATCCCAGCTGCTTCCACATGCGTAGAGTTTCGCGTGCCTTGTCTGAGTCAGGAGCATGCTCAAACCGCTTGCGAAGCTCTGCGCACCACGTTGCCTAGGTGCGAATGTGGGTCGCTCCGAACAACAATTCGGTCTCGTCTTCGTCGCCGAATTCTTCGGACCACTCGTGCTGTCCTTCTGTGCGTGTTGCCGCTGAGTCGACGGTGACCTTCCACCACTGTAGGGCGGCCTCTTGCAACAGTTTTAACGTGTGGCTGATCCGCTTTTGATCGTCTCTGATGCCCGCCACGTTAAAATAGATATTCATGGCGAATATCCGCTGCCTCACTGTTACGCCTTCATTAGCTGGGTCGAAAGGAGCGGGTTGCTGATATCTTACACCGTCACTTGTCGAGCGCGGGGGTGTTGCCGCTAGTCGTGCCAGCTCCATTGGCGGCGGTTGCTGCTCACCCGCCTTGCTTCGTGCATCGTTGCCCGGCTCCTCTGGACGCCTCTCCTGCGCCTGGCGAAGTCGTTGGTTATCGTCGCGGAGGTCGTTGACAATGCTTATCAAATTCTTCAACGGCTCCATTAATGTTTGCAGATCCACAGTTTCCCGGGCAGGGTTCGCAGCAGTCGAGGTGGATTGTCCCTCAACCGTCGAGTCTACCGGGGCCATGGCGGTCAGGACGGGCCAGAAGCTAGCGCACACGCTATAGTTGTTGACGTAAAAATATTTACGATCCAAGACAACGGCTGTGCAACCATGCTAATCCCCTCTGACCACCCTTAACAAAGTAAGCGGGAAAATGGAAGGTTCCTGGAAAGGTCTGGCTCTCATACCAGCTGTTATAATATAGGAAGTGTCAATGAAATATAACGTGAGAATACAATGTCGCTATTGCAATGAAGGCACGAGGTTATATAGAGGTTGGCGTGCTAGGGAGATAACCTCGGAACGTGGGTAGGTTCGGCAATGTGGCGACATTGCCGGACGCGGCGCGGGAAAGGGTTGGGCCGACAAATGAGGCCGAACGTGACGAGTCGAGGAGTTCGGGTGTACGCGCTAGCGTACGACTCAGTAAGGAATGGAAATTCCTTACTGGGGGTAGAGAAATAACCGTAAATTGGTAAACAATTGATTTGGAGAGAAGCAAATATTCCATTATTATGTGATGTCTACCTTGCATACATACTGGTAAATGCTTGCCACCATGGTTGACATGTGGTGAATAAACTTATGGAAATCCAAGCGTCATATGGAACGAGTCTATAATATTTGAAATCGGCAAAGTGGAAATGCATTCCAACCACACTCAGTTGAATAAATCGCTCTGAAACATAAATCTGAATAATATACAGAGCTCCACGCCGTTCTGTACTAACAGAGCCTTCAAAGCATGTGATGTGAATCTCACCATGCCGTGGCATGTCAGACATTCCTACTGCTCATCTGCTATAATCCGAGTTGTCCTTGTCATGTTTAACCCTATTCTTGGCTGTTCCATAGCGTCACAAGTGAAGCGAGAGTTGAATGGCCTTGCTAAGAAGTTTCTTCACTCGATTACCATGGGACTGGGGCAGGGGTGCAGGGGTTCAGGGGGGGAGAGAAGGGATTTGGGCCAAGCTACCAGTTAGGAGAGCAAGATTGGTGAAGGGCAGAAGGGAGGATGCTGATTGAATGAAGTTGAGAGGATTGGTCAGCAGGATGGGCTAATACAAGGAATCCTAGAAAGAAAGTCTTGATGGGATTTTCCAGTCGAGCTATTAACGGAATATAATGTTGGAAAAAGTAAAGAGACGGAGACTTTGTTGGTTCCAGGAAACACCCCAGAGGGTGTCTTATAACGGGTTATTCAGCTACTTTATAAAAAGTCCCTGAACTGACACCCTACCTGGAGGGTCTTTCCAACAGGTGTGGTGAGAGTGGCAGGGGAGAACTCCCGGAACCCGTCCAAGCATGTCGTGACCTGGTCTTGCGCGGCTGTCAGCCAAACCGAATGCTTCTGGAGGCAACTGCTGCTTTGAGCGCTTACCTGGAGGGTACTATTTGACCGGCTGGCGTGTGCCTTACGCACTTACCTGGAGGGACTTCCCAACTGGTGTGGCGAGAGTCGGCGAGAACTCCCGGAACCCATCCAGGCACGTCGTGACCTGGTCTTGCGCGGCTGTCAGCCCAACAGTCACGCTTCTGGAGCGCTTGAGTGCTCTGGAGGCACCTGCTGCTTTGAGCGCTTACCTGGAGGGACTTCCCAACTGGTGTGGTGAGAGTCGACGGCGAAAACTCCCGGAACCCTTCCAGGCACGTCGTAACCTGGTCTTGCGCGGCCATCAGCCAAAACGGGACGTCCTTTGAGCTGGTTTTACTCTTGAGCGCCTTTGCGACGCTGCTGAGATGGTACTCGGCAGTGCTCATCTGGGGGGGATAGTGGGGGCGAAGGACGGAGAGGGAAGGGGGGAGGTGGGAGAGCATCTTGACAGAAGTGAAACGGCACGACCTTGGGAGTTATGCGAGTCTTGAGTGCATTTGCGAAGCTCAGCGTTTAGGGTTGAGATGGTGTCATCTGGGGGAGGTGATGAGAGGGGAAGGAGCACCGACGCTCGGCGGTGACAATCTGGGGGAAGGGAGAAGGCGGAAAAGGGGGAGGTGGGAGGTGGGGAGGAGGATGTGGAGGAGGGGCTAAGGGGGGAGGGGAGGTGGGAGAGCAGCCTGCCCTTGAAGCAGGTTCGAATTGCGCAATCCACTGAGAATACCGAGCTTGCTGCAACACTACCCGTTTCTCAGTGGACAGCCCGTCCTTGAAGCAAGTTCGAATTGCGCAATATCGAATCACTAGGAAGAGCCCTTCTCCAGGTGTGTTCGGAGTCGACTAAAAACAGGTTCGATTTGCGCAGTATCGGGTCACGAGGGAAGAATCCTTTTCCTTACTGGGCGGAGGGAGGGGTCGTACCAGCGAGAGGCAGTCGTTTGAGCAGGAATCCGTTATCTTCGTTTTACCGCGGCTCTTCTTTATCGCGTACACCCTGCCAATCACCACCTTCACTCCCGCCGTGATATTCGCCACGAATCCCGGATCCAGCTTGCCTCGCGACCCGGAAACGCCGCCGCCGCCGCCGCTGCCGCCACCGCCTGCTTTAGCAGCTCCAGCTGCCGCTAGCGATCTTCTACGGGAAAGCGTCTCAGGTGAATCGATATCAAGGGTCGGCGTGGACGCACCACCTGCTGCTAGTAGTGACCTCCGCGGGACGCCGGCCAGCGCGAGCCGGCGAAGGCCGTAGGAACTTACAGCGTCGAAGGTGTGACGCGTGGCGAGGAAAGTGACTAAAACGAGGGCGATGGTGCCTATCGTACCCCATACGAGCTTACTCGCGAAAGGTATTCCGCTTGTTGTTGACACAGGCGAGGAATGATGCATAGTGCCGCAAGGAGGTATTTGCGACGATTGGACAGTCAAGCCTTTGGTTTGGCTAGTTTTTACTGAATCCGCCATGGCTGCGTCGATAAGGAGATTATGCGAGTTCTATGGCTTAGCCCGATCGGACTGCGAAGGAGGGCTCCTCTGACGAAGAAAGAAGTCTATAGGAAAACTAGGCCCGATATTACAGAAGGATATAACAGGATCACGCTGAGAATTCTTAAGGATCACCTACAACATTAAGGAGAAGACTGTAAGAGTGCTAGGCCCGATATTACTGGAGACTTTTGAGTCGACTATAAAATTACCGACGAAGAGGAGACTCAGTCTGTAGGAGTACCAGGCCCGATATTTCATAAGGATATAAAAGGACCACGCTGAGAAGGTCCCGCTGTATAATTAGTGCACGAACTTTCAGACGAGGGTTTCTAGAGAGCAAGGCTGGGATTGCGACATTTCAGAGAAGATACCAAAGTGGGGCCTCAGGGGAACTCGGAATTGATGCGGAAATTACACAGTCGGAAGGGAAGAAAGGGATGGCACGGCACGGGCTGCATGCTTCGAGCGGCACAGGCCTCGGTCGGTAATCACCCACGCGTGTTTCACCGCCCCTGCACCCTATTCTCACCTCCCCCATACTCTTCTGCTGACGGCATGAATCTGCAGACAGGCACTTGCCAAGCTGGCGCTACAACTAAGCGCAGGCGGAAACACATGTACTGTACCGAAGCACTGTGGGTAGTGGGGTGGGGTGGCTGGTTTTTGGTCGGTGCTCCAGCCAGTGCTCCTGCAGAACGAGCATCGTGATAAATAATGAGCGGGTGGTGGAGAAACGCCAGCAGGCAGACAGATTGCCCGCGAACATGGCAAATGCGGAAATTCCCACACGGTGGAATGTCCGGTCGCGCCGCGCATGTGCAGAAGTGCGGGCTCGAATCGGGCATTTGCGAAACAACTGTTCTGTACATTCTTCGGTGGGCGGGTTTCGCAATCCCCAACATTTCTCCGCGACGACATAATTTCCGCCCAGAGATGCTGCTGTCAGTGGTAACGTCGCACAGCCCTGATGGCTTCATCTTTCATGGAAAGCCCAGACCAGCATAGTGGAGGAGCCGTTGTACGTTATGGAAACTTCGAGTTACAGGTAGGTCACTAGTCTTAAGTTGAAAAGCACACTATGATTCCCACACGCAAATTAAATTCCTTGGCAAAACACATGCCCAAGCATGTCAAACAAAAATCATGCAACCAATCAAACGAAGCATTAACGGCCAAACCCAAACACCTATTATTAAGTGATACGCATGCTTGCAATAGTACCAGTAAAGGTTCTGTTAGCAACCTCGACACAATCCGCACCACTTCCGCAATCACTCCCCGTCCCAACAAGTTTCTCAAGCCTCAACCTTGGCCTTCTTAGCAGCAGGCTCCTCCTCCTTGGCATCCCCATTCTCCGTCCCTTCCACCACCTTCTCTTCCATCTCCACCTTCTTCTCTTCCATCTCCACCTTCTTCTCTTCCTTCTCCACCTTCTTCTCTTCCATCTCCACCTTCTTCTCTTCCATCTCCACCTTCTTCTCTTCGTTCTCCCCCTCCTTGCCCTCATACGATGCATTGTGCACACCGAGCGCAGCCCTGCCTGAGGGGTCAATGTTGTTGGCCCATGCAGCATCCCACTTCACTGCAGCAGCTGTGCTGCAGGCCACACTCGCACCCCACGGCACAGTCAAACGAGCGCATAGCTGGGCAGATGGGGAGGACGGGGGGTTGTGGGGGGAGGAGAGGGTTTGAGGAAAAATAAGGGAGGGAGGGGGGTCAATATTGTTGGCCCATGCAGCGTCCCACTTGACTGCAGCAGCTGTGCTGCAGGCCACATTCGCACCCCACGGCACAGTCAGGCGGGCACAGAGCTGAGCAGGGAGGGAGGGGGGTGGGGAGGGGGTGGTTGGACAGCGGAGAAACAAAGAGGAAGGGAGAGGGCAAAATGGTAATGTGGGGAGACACGAAGAGAACGAGGTTGAAAACGGAAACTGCAGTTCAGAGGGCAGACACTGAGGTTATGCAAGAAGAGAAAGCATGAAGAGAAGGAACAAAAAAGAAGCAGACAGTGGACAGGGTGATGAGAGGAAGGGGATAAAAGGGAGGGGGGGATGAGGGGAGGGGAAAGAAGGGAGTGGAGGGACTTGGGATGATGAGAGAAAACAGCATAAAGCATAATTAACACACACAACAGCCTTCGTGAAGTGCTACACGGGAAAGGTGCTACCTGGGGGAAGTGTTACCCAAGGGAGTTATTACCTAGGAGAAGTGTTATCTGGTGGAGGTGGTACCTGGGGGAAGTGTTTCTCGAAGGTCATGCGGTAGAAGAAGGCCTCCTTGGTCTTGGGCGTGTTGATGGGGAACATGTTGGGCGCGTTGGCCAGCATTTGGTCTGAGACCTGTGGGGATGAGAGGGGGAGGGGGGAGTGTGAAAGAGGGAGGGGAGAAGTGAGCCATGGGTGAGTGTGCTGCCTTGTATTGGGAATGTTGATGGGGAAAATGCTGGGCGCAGGAGGAGGGCGGGGTGTTTCATGAAAAATTCATAAAAATAATGAACATTCTGGTGTCAGCATGTGGTACTCACCATCTGTCAGCATGTGGCACTCACCATGTGTCCGCATGTGGTATGCACCATGTGTCGGCATGTGGTACTCATTCACCATGTGTCCGCATGTGGTATGCACCATGTGTCAGCATGTGGTACTCACCATGTGTCAGCATGTGGTACTTGCCATGTGTCCGCATGTGGTACTCGCCATGTGTCCGCATGTGGTACTCACCATGTGTCTGCATGTGGTACTCACCATGTGTCCGCATGTGGTACGCACCATGTGTCAGCATGTGGTAGTCACCATGTGTCCGCATGTGGTACTCACCATGTGTCAGCATGTGGTACTCACCATGTGTCAGCTTGTGCTACTCACCATGTATCAGCATGTGGTACGCACCATGTGTCAGCTGGTACTCCACTCACCATGTTCTCGGCATGTGCCTTGAGCCCGTCGATCCAGCTGTACCTCACACCATCACCAAAAGCTCCCTCTACTCAGCATGCACTAAACGCCATGTTGCCAGCATGCAGTGATGCAGGGTCAGGGCACTCCAATCCACTCACCATGTTCTCGGCATGTGCCTTGAGCCCGTCAATCCAGCTGTACCCCACGCCATCGCTGAACTGCTCCTTCTGGCGGTACAGGATGTGCTGCGAGGGGCAGGAGTAAGAGCAGAAGAGGATAACACGGTTACAAGAAACATATGCTTAACAGGAGAGGAAATACGAGGGGAGGATCCAACTGTACCCCACACAGTAACTGAGCTGCTTCTTCTAGCGGTACAGGATGTGCTGCGAGGGGAAGGAATAAGATGGGAGAGAAGACGGTAACAGGAAACATATGCTTACACTACCCTACCATATAGTAAGGCTTGCACGGTTGGGGTACATATGGAAAAGGAATGGATGGGGGGATGCTTTTTGACAGGTATGGGTTGACTCAAAAGTGGATTGGGGAAGCAGGGGGGTTGCTTGCACGTGGGAGATATGGCATACCTTTGGCAGGTATGGGTTCTCGGGGTCGTCAAAAGCCTTGCGAATGATGTACTTCTCAATCCGACCCTCCTTGGGCTTGATCTGAGGGGGAGAGGGGAGGGAGGGAGGGCGGGAAGAATGGTTGGAAGGGAGGGAGGAATGGGAATTTCTACAAGCCTCGAGAAAGCCTTACGAAATGATGTACTTCTCACTTCGGCTTCAAGGCCAATGCTCATGGCAACATCGAGGAACTCCTATGGAGGAAAGGCACCCTTGCCTCTGCTGGCCCACCTCTCCCCCATTCACATACCCAGCACCCCATCAGCTCTCCCCTAACAATAACTCCCAACGCACCATCTTGGCTTCGGGGTCGATGCTCATGGCAACATCCAGGAACTCCGATCGAGGAACAGCAACGCCCTTGCCTCAGCTGTCTCACCTTTAACCTGTCCCAAGTGCTCCATTGTGAGGTGCATCAAAGTCAGATCACACTCTCAGCACACCCCCACATCCGCCCTACCAACCCACATCCCATCTTCTCTTCAGGGTTAAAGCTCATGGCAACATCAAGGAAAGGTACCCTCGCCTCCAGCCCCCATCGCAGGACCCCTTCCCTAACTCCCAATAATGGACCAAAGAATAATTGCTCACTCCACACGCACCATCTTCTCTGCAGGGTCAATGCTCATGGCAACATCGAGGAACTCCTTATCGAGGAAAGGCACTCGCGCCTCCAGCCCCCACGCCATGGTGGCCTTGTTGGCGCGCAGGCAGTCAAACTGGTGCAGCGCCTTCAGCTGGAGCGAGGGACGGAGCAAGGGGGCACGAGAGAAGGACTAAGGTCAGGACAGCACTTGAGGGACGTGCCATGGTGGCCCTGCTGGCTCGCAGGCAGTCAAACTGGTACAGCGCCTTCAGCTGTAGCAGATGAGAGGGAAACAGGGTAGAAGAGAGACAGGACGGGAGAGCACTTGATAATCGACTCCAGCCCCCATGCCATGGTGGCCTTGTTGGCGCACAGGCAGTCAAACTGGTGCAGCGCCTTCAGCTGCAACGAGGGGGGGGTGGAGGAACAGGTGGGAGGGAAATGTGGTGGAAGGAGAATTGAAGACAGGGCAACATTCGGGCTGCACTTGACACTTCTTCTCCAGCCCCCATGCGATGGTGGCCCTGCTAGCTCACAGGGAAGTCACTAAGGAGAGAGCAAATCAAAACGGTCTCAAACGATTTCAAACGATTTCAAACGGTCTCAAGCGCCTATTAAGCCTTCACTCTTCTTACGGCACATCCCACCTCGTGGCACGTCCCCACATGCCCACGTTGGGCTACCCCACCCTACCATACCTCGTGGCACGTCCTCACATGCCCACGTTGGGCTACCCCGCCCTACCATACCTCGTGCCACGTCCTCACATGCCCACGTTGGGCTACCCCGCCCTACCATACCTCGTGGCACGTCCTCACATGCCCACGTTGGGCTACCCCGCCCTACCATACCTCGTGGCAAGTCCTCACATGCCCACGTTGGGCTACCCCGCCCTACCATACCTCGTGGCACGTCCCCACATGCCCACGTTGGGCTACCCCACCCTACCATACCTCGTGGCACGTCCTCACATGCCCACGTTGGGCTACCCCGCCCTACCATACCTCGTGGCAAGTCCTCACATGCCCACGTTGGGCTACCCCGCCCTACCATACCTCGTGGCAAGTCCTCACATGCCCACGTTGGGCTACCCCGCCCTACCATACCTCGTGGCACGTCCCCACATGCCCACGTTGGGCTACCCCACCCTACCATACCTCGTGCCACGTCCTCACATGCCCACGTTGGGCTACCCCGCCCTACCATACCTCGTGGCACGTCCTCACATGCCCACGTTGGGCTACCCCGCCCTACCATACCTCGTGCCACGTCCTCACATGCCCACGTTGGGCTACCCCGCCCTACCATACCTCGTGGCACGTCCTCACATGCCCACGTTGGGCTACCCCGCCCTACCATACCTCGTGGCACGTCCTCACATGCCCACGTTGGGCTACCCCACCCTACCATACCTCGTGGCACGTCCTCACATGCCCACGTTGGGCTACCCCGCCCTACCATACCTCGTGGCACGTCCTCACATGCCCACGTTGGGCTACCCCGCCCTACCATACCTCGTGCCACGTCCTCACATGCCCACGTTGGGCTACCCCGCCCTACCATACCTCGTGCCACGTCCTCACATGCCCACGTTGGGCTACCCCGCCCTACCATACCTCGTGCCACGTCCTCACATGCCCACGTTGGGCTACCCCGCCCTACCATACCTCGTGGCACGTCCCCACATGCCCACGTTGGGCTACCCCACCCTACCATACCTCGTGGCACGTCCTCACATGCCCACGTTGGGCTACCCCGCCCTACCATACCTCGTGGCACGTCCTCACATGCCCACGTTGGGCTACCCCGCCCTACCATACCTCGTGCCACGTCCTCACATGCCCACGTTGGGCTACCCCGCCCTACCATACCTCGTGGCACGTCCTCACATGCCCACGTTGGGCTACCCCGCCCTACCATACCTCGTGGCACGTCCTCACATGCCCACGTTGGGCTACCCCACCCTACCATACCTCGTGGCACGTCCTCACATGCCCACGTTGGGCTACCCCGCCCTACCATACCTCGTGGCACGTCCTCACATGCCCACGTTGGGCTACCCCGCCCTACCATACCTCGTGCCACGTCCTCAAATGCCCACGTTGGGCTACCCCGCCCTACCATACCTCGTGCCACGTCCTCACATGCCCACGTTGGGCTACCCCGCCCTACCATACCTCGTGGCACGTCCTCACATGCCCACGTTGGGCTACCCCGCCCTACCATACCTCGTGCCACGTCCTCACATGCCCACGTTGGGCTACCCCGCCCTACCATACCTCGTGGCACGTCCTCACATGCCCACGTTGGGCTACCCCGCCCTACCATACCTCGTGCCACGTCCTCACATGCCCACGTTGGGCTACCCCGCCCTACCATACCTCGTGGCACGTCCTCACATGCCCACGTTGGGCTACCCCGCCCTACCATACCTCGTGCCACGTCCTCACATGCCCACGTTGGGCTACCCCGCCCTACCATACCTCGTGCCACGTCCTCACATGCCCACGTTGGGCTACCCCGCCCTACCATACCTCGTGGCACGTCCTCACATGCCCACGTTGGGCTACCCCGCCCTACCATACCTCGTGGCACGTCCTCACATGCCCACGTTGGGCTACCCCACCCTACCATACCTCGTGGCACGTCCTCACATGCCCACGTTGGGCTACCCCGCCCTACCATACCTCGTGGCACGTCCTCACATGCCCACGTTGGGCTACCCCACCCTACCATACCTCGTGGCACGTCCTCACATGCCCACGTTGGGCTACCCCACCCTACCATACCTCGTGGCACGTCCTCACATGCCCACGTTGGGCTACCCCGCCCTACCATACCTCGTGGCACGTCCTCACATGCCCACGTTGGGCTACCCCGCCCTACCATACCTCGTGGCACGTCCTCACATGCCCACGTTGGGCTACCCCGCCCTACCATACCTCGTGGCACGTCCTCACATGCCCACGTTGGGCTACCCCGCCCTACCATACCTCGTGCCACGTCCTCACATGCCCACGTTGGGCTACCCCGCCCTACCATACCTCGTGGCACGTCCTCACATGCCCACGTTGGGCTACCCCGCCCTACCATACCTCGTGGCACGTCCTCACATGCCCACGTTGGGCTACCCCGCCCTACCATACCTCGTGGCACGTCCTCACATGCCCACGTTGGGCTACCCCGCCCTACCATACCTCGTGGCACGTCCTCACATGCCCACGTTGGGCTACCCCGCCCTACCATACCTCGTGGCGTGGCACGTCCCCACATGCCCACGTTGGGCTACCCCACCCTACCATACCTCGTGGCACGTCCTCACATGCCCACGTTGGGCTACCCCGCCCTACCATACCTCGTGGCACGTCCTCACATGCCCACGTTGGGCTACCCCGCCCTACCATACCTCGTGGCACGTCCTCACATGCCCACGTTGGGCTACCCCGCCCTACCATACCTCGTGGCACGTCCTCACATGCCCACGTTGGGCTACCCCGCCCTACCATACCTCGTGGCACGTCCTCACATGCCCACGTTGGGCTACCCCGCCCTACCATACCTCGTGGCACGTCCTCACATGCCCACGTTGGGCTACCCCGCCCTACCATACCTCGTGGCACGTCCTCACATGCCCACGTTGGGCTACCCCGCCCTACCATACCTCGTGGCACGTCCTCACATGCCCACGTTGGGCTACCCCGCCCTACCATACCTCGTGCCACGTCCTCACATGCCCACGTTGGGCTACCCCGCCCTACCATACCTCGTGGCACGTCCTCACATGCCCACGTTGGGCTACCCCGCCCTACCATACCTCGTGGCACGTCCTCACATGCCCACGTTGGGCTACCCCGCCCTACCATACCTCGTGCCACGTCCCCACATGCCCACGTTGGGCTACCCCGCCCTACCATACCTCGTGCCACGTCCTCACATGCCCACGTTGGGCTACCCCGCCCTACCATACCTCGTGGCACGTCCTCACATGCCCACGTTGGGCTACCCCGCCCTACCATACCTCGTGGCACGTCCTCACATGCCCACGTTGGGCTACCCCGCCCTACCATACCTCGTGGCACGTCCTCACATGCCCACGTTGGGCTACCCCGCCCTACCATACCTCGTGGCACGTCCTCACATGCCCACGTTGGGCTACCCCGCCCTACCATACCTCGTGCCACGTCCCCACATGCCCACGTTGGGCTACCCCGCCCTACCATACCTCGTGGCACGTCCTCACATGCCCACGTTGGGCTACCCCGCCCTACCATACCTCGTGGCACGTCCTCACATGCCCACGTTGGGCTACCCCGCCCTACCATACCTCGTGGCACGTCCTCACATGCCCACGTTGGGCTACCCCGCCCTACCATACCTCGTGGCACGTCCCCACGTGCAATTCCTCCTTGTTTGGTGCCTTGCGGAAGTAGAGGTACCCACCAAACACCAAACAGAGCAGCTTGCGATGCACCCTCACGTCTCTTCTTACCTTCCCTAACTCTAACTCTATCCCCCCCTTGTGGGAGGTATCCGCCAAACACCTCGTCGCTGCCCTCGAGCACGACATGGCTCTTCCCTTCCCTCCTGCATTCCCCAAACCATACCTTGTGGCATGTCTCCACGTGCAGCTCCTCCTTGTTTGGTGCCTTGTGGAAGTAGAGGTACCCGCCAAACACCTCATCGCTGCCCTCCCCCGACAGCACCATCTTCACGCCCAGCGCCTTGATCTTGCGGCTCATGAGGAACATGGGCGTGCTAGCGCGGATGGTGGTCACGTCGTAGGTCTCGATGTGGTAGATCACATCAGATATAGCATCGATGCCCTCCTGCGGCATTGTGTGTGTGTTGGAGGGGAAGGGAGTGGGGACAGATGGGTCGCGGAACATGGGCGTGCTCGCCCATGAGGAAACATGGGCATGCTCGCTCATGAGGAACATGGGCATGCTCGCTCATGAGGAACATGGGCATGCTCGCTCATGAGGAACATGGGCATGCTCGCTCATGAGGAACATGGGCATGCTCGCTCATGAGGAACATGGGCATGCTCGCTCATGAGGAACATGGGCATGCTCGCTCATGAGGAACATGGGCGTGCTCGCTCGGATGGTGGTCACGTCATACATCTCAACATGATAAATGGCGTCTGATGTGGCGTCAATGCCCGCCTGTCAAAACGACGAGGAGGGGAGAGGGATACAGACTGTGGAGCAGCATGCTGGCGCGGATAGTGGTCACGCTTGTATGCTTACATGGGCAATATCACACTTTCACATGGCATAAATCCCATCCCTGCAGCTCTTACTGCACTATAGACAGATTCACTGAACGCTGTAGAAGATTCACCGTACCTGGACAGTGAAGTGCAGCTCGTGGTGAACAGTGCCAATGTAGTCCGCCACCTCCTTGGCCGCCTTAAGATCCGGAGAACCCTGACATGGGTCATACAGGGGAGGGGAACGGGACAAGGGAAGTGGTGATGGGGGGGACGAGGTAAAAAGACTCAACCCCTCTATGTTAGTGCATGGGAAGAGATGGTCGCTGGCTTTCCAGGCCACCAGGGGGGGAGGAGTCGAAAACGCTGGACAACTTATGAGGCGCCTCAAACGATGTAAAAAGACTCAACCCCCCATGTTAGTACATGGGCTTCCCACGCCAACAGGGAGGGAAGAGTCGAAACCGCTGGACAACAGCACTTTGAGGGGGGGCCACAGCTGAAGAAGCAGCAGAGCCCACTAAATAGGAGGGATAAAACCTACTGCCATACCTCCATGCCTACGCTGTAGGAGTGCAGGTGCGGCCCCCACATCTCCCCTGCATGGGTTTCCGAGAGATGGCGCTTGGCGACAGACGCCACCAGGGAGGAGTCGAGCCCTCTTTACCAAACAGCAGCAATGTGAGGAGTAGGAGCGGTGCCTAGTAACTACTGCCGTACCTCCACGCCCACGCATTAGGAGTGGAGATGAGGGCCCCACAGCTCCCCTGTGTGGTTTTCGGAGAGAAGGCGCTTGGCAACAGACGCCACCAAGGAGGAGTCGAGCCCGCCAGAGAGAAGCACTCTAAAGGGGGGACCACCTAAAGCAAAATCACGTACCTCCATGCCGACACAATAGGAGTGGAGATGAGGGCCCCACAGCTCCCCTGCATGGGTTTCCGAGAGATGGCGCTTGGCGACCGACGCCACCAGCGAGGAGTCAAGACCGCCTGAGAGAAGCACTCCGAACGGCACGTCCGTCATCATACGCTTGGTCACCGACTGAGTAGGGCAAGGCGGACGGAGGAGGGAAGGAATGATGGTCTGATGAAGGCAGCCACCTGCCGAAACTAGTTACCATCATTTTTACCCTGCGATTTCAAGAGAATTCTCTGAGCAAGAATTTTCTCAAACGAAAAAAAAGTGTTCTACAAGCCCGCTGCCACGTATGGCTAAAACCACCACCAAGTGGTGTTCTCTCATCATACGCTTGGTCACCGACTGATTAGGGCAAGGCGAACGGAGAAGGGAAGGTGGCCAGGGGGAAAGGGCGAGCGGGAGAGAGCAGAGGAGGAGTCTAGCTTTTGCAGGGTGTTTTTGAGAATTCTAAAAAACACCCTGCAAAATCAGTGGCCAGGGGAAAGGGTGAGCGGGAGAGAGCAGAGGAGGAGTCTAGCCCGCCTGAGAGAAGCACTCCGAAAGGCATGCCCGTCATCATATGCTTGGTCACAGCCTGGAGGAAACAAGGCAGGAGGGAGTGAAGTGTGGGGAAAGCGACAGAGGGGAGGGTGAGAGGAGGGGACAAGTAGGCGTTAAGCCTGCCTGAGAGAAGCACTCCGAACGGCACACCTGTCATCAGACGGCTGGTCACAGCCTGAAAGTGGAAGTGGGGTGTGTGGGGAAGGGGACAGAGGGGAGGGTGAGTGAACCAGGAAGAAAGGGGAGGGAGAGCGGAGGGAACAGAGAGGAGTCAAGCCCGCCTGACAGCAGCACACCAAACAGCACATCTGTTATCAGTCGCTTGGTCACTGCCTGATAGTGGGATTGGGGTGTGTGGGGAAGGGGACAGAGGGGAGGGTGAGTGGAACAGGACGAAAGGGGAGGGTAAGTGGATGAGGGAACAGAGAGGAGTCAAGCCACCTGAGAGCAGCACACCGAGTCTCACCTTTTCAAAGGCAGCCCGCAGCACGAGAGGGGCGTAGGGGGTGTTGGGGATGTGCTCATACGGGAAAAGGCGTGGCCAGACGAGTCTTGATGCATGAGGCGAGACCTCACTTCACATTCTAGAAGGCCGAAACGAGAGCTCACCTTTTCAAAGGCAGCTCGAAGCACGAGAGTGTCGTAGGGCGCGCTGGGGATGCGCTCATACGACTTACGGCGTGGCCATACGAGACTTGATGCATGAAGGGAGACCTCACTATCTCACCTTCTCAAAGGCTGCTCGCAGCACAAGAGGGTCGTAGGGGGTGTTGGGGATGTGCTCATCGTACCACTTGGGGTTGTACCACCGCCTGATGCCGCCTGTGAAGGCAGAATCAGAGGACGTATGGAACATGGGGAGAGATAGGAGGGAGAGAAAGGATAAAGCGAGGGGATTGTCGGGCGTTTCGGAAATGTGCTCAACCATCCCCGGGCCAGGAAGTCATGACTCGCTCTGCTGTCCTCCCCCCACGTGTCCCCACGTGCCCCCACATGCCCGCACGTGCCCCCCACGTGCCCCCACATGCCCCCACGTGCCCCCCACGCTGCTCGTCTGCAGAGCAAGCATTACATCCCCAAATGCTAAGTCGCATGCTTGACTCTACCTGTATCCCGCCCTCTCGCACCCTTCTTGCTCGCTGGAGTAGATGCTGCCAGGCGGAAAGACGGTTCAGTTGAGTTCAAAACCAACTCTCACTGCATGCAATGTAAGACGCCTGTCACTCACCCTGCTTGCTGGAGTAGATGCTGCCGGGAGGGAAGATCTCAAACCGCTCGCACTCGTCCTTGAGGGCCTTCATCTCCGAGGCGAACCACACGGAGCCTGCGAGCACGAGCGCATTGGCATTACAAAAATTACTCTTGAGCCGAATCCTTAGGACTCAACAGGCCAACGCTCGCACTCGTCCTTGAGGGCCTTCATTCCGAGGCGAGCCACATGGAGCCTGCAAGCACGAGTGCATTGGCATTACGAAAGACCACACATCACTTGCACTCGCCCTTGAGAGAGCCTTCATCCTCGACGCGAGCCACACCGAGCCTGCAGGCAAACAAAGAGGGGGAATCGAACGCAGAAGGAAAGATAGAGTAGCGTTGCACCAGCCAGCAATAACCGCACCCAGCATCACCACCATCCCTTGCCAGTAGAGCTGCACCAATCAGCAATAACCACATCCACCGTCACCACCATCTCTTGCCATCGCCAGCAGCAGCACTCACCATCGCGCCGCCAGCCGATGTACATGGAGCAGACGCCGATGGGGTCCCGGGCGGCAATGAAGGAGTTGTCCTCGTGGCCAGCAGCGCAAACGCGAAGATGCCGTCCAGATCCTGCACCAGCTCCAGAGTCCAGATAGCAATACCTACCACCACCAGCACTGCCCGGTGCCCACTGTCCAGATCCTCTCCTGCTCCAGCTAGCAGCAACCGTCAGCCAGCCCCAAACCCACCCAACCCAACCGCGCCTCACCCCACGCCACCGCGCCCATCAAAGCTTACCATCGCGCCCCCAGCCGATGTACATGGAGCAGACGCCAATGGGGTCCCTAGCAGCAATGAAGGAGTTGTCCCTCGTGTCTAGCAGCACGAAAGCAAAGATGCCGTCCAGATCCTGCACCAGCTCCTCGCCCCGCTCCTCGTACTGGGGGCAGGGGAAATGAGGGAAGAGGCAGGTAGTTGGTAGGTGCAGAAAAATTATACAGTGGAGGGAAGAGGCAGGCAGCTGGTAGGGGGAGCAAGCAGCACAAACGCGAAGATGCCGTCCAGATCCTGCACCAGCTCCTCGCCCCGCTCCTCGTACTGGGAGTAAAAAGGGGGGAAGGTTATACAGTGCAGGAAGGAGGCAGGTACATGGTAGGGGGAGCAAGCAGCACGAACGCGAAGATGCCGTCCAGATCCTCCACCAGCTCCTCGCCCCGCTCCTCGTACTGCACGTGATTGGTAGGGAAGACGACGACAGAGTCGAGGGTGGGAAATGAAGGCAGAGGCAGGTGGTTAGCAGGGGGGAGCAAGCACCACAAATGCGAAGATGCCGCCCCGATCCTGCACCAGCTCCTCGCCCCGCTCCTCGTACTGGCAGGAGGGCGGGGAGCAATCAGCACAAAGGCGAAATTATACAGCGGAGGGAAGAGACAGGCGGATGGTAGGGGGAGCAAGCAGCACAAACGCGAAGATGCCGTCCAGATTCTGCGCCAGCTCCTCGCCCCGCTCCTCGTACTGGCAACCACAGAGAGAAGGCAGAGGAGGGTGGGGCGTGAAAGTAGGGGACCAGCACCAGCACTAGGGACCAGCACCAGCACTAACATCAGCTCCTGCACCAGCTCCTCGCCCCGCTCCTCGTAGGGTGGGGGGGAAGGGGGAGGAGGGGGAGGGGTGGGGTGGGGGGAGAGAGAGAATAGAGCAGATCTAGGATGAGCTCCTTCCTCGCCGTAGAGCCAGGGATTCTTCAAAGGACAAGAGAGTCGGAGGAGGAGGTGATACCATGAAAGAAAGGAAGGGGAGAGGAGAAGGCCTTGGAACATCATAGCTTGCGTTTCCAAGACCTTGGAACATCATAGCTTGCGTTTCCAAGGCCTTGGAACATCATAGTTTGCGCAATGACTTCGCAGTCGCTCCCCGTGCTGAAGGTGTGCGTTTCCTTGAGGCTCTTCCTCAGCGGCACGAAACATGGTACATGGTGGTAACACTACGCAAGGAACCATGAAAGCCTTACCAGGTGGGCAATGACTACGTACGCAGTCGCTCTCCGTGCTGAACGAGTGCTTCTCCTTGAGGCTTTTCCTGGAAAGCTTAAGAAGTGATACCTTGAACTGGCACAAGAATCATGAAATCCTGTCACCACGGAGCACTCACCAGGTGGGCAATGACTTCGCAGTCGCTCTCCGTGCTGAACGAGTGCTTCTCCTTGAGGCTCTTCTTCAGCGCCTCGTGGTTGTAGATCTCGCCGTTCACCTGACCAGACCACGCGCGCATACATAGAAATAACAACACGTGATTCAATCCAAATATGCAAAATGTCACATAACGTTGCAATAATTCACACAACATTCACAAAAATCTCCCAATCTGCAGACTTCGCGTAAGGCACACGCACCGTGACGACGATCTCCTTGGTCTCGTTAAAGAGCGGCTGGTGGCCGGAAGCCGGGTCGACAATAGCGAGACGCTCATGCGCGAGGAAGTTGTTGTTGTCCACGTGCACGCCGCTCCAGTCAGGGCCTCGGTGCCTCAGCCTGACAGAAAAAAATATAGGAAAATATGCATCGCGGGTGATGCTCTTAGGAAGATCAATGCCTCGAGAATGCAGAATAAAAATAAATAATCCCTTTAAGATGGTTCCAGGAAGATACATAGTTACGAGGAATGTATTCGAAGAAATATAGGTGCTTTCAGCATGGCATGCTAGGAACCGTAGGCTCCTAACATAGGAAACTCAAAGCCTAAAATTGCGGATACAAAGTCGATTTATAGCATACACCGTAGCGACCAGACAGCAGCATATCACTAAGCAGGTTAATTCCATTTATCCCAGAAAATCAACCAGCGCGATGCCACTTGGCGAAGCATTTAGCGTCGATCGTCAAATCCACGAACATGCTACACGTGACATGAACTCACCTAGCCGAGCACTCGAGGACTCGCGCTCGCATGCCAGGCGAGTCATCTGACGAACTCAAGCAAGCGAGAATGCCACACATTTTGACTGGTCAACCGGGTAAACAGCTCGAAAATACGTCGCAACGGGGGAACAGCGGGAGGAGCGCTAAGTTAAGGCCGACGGAAAGCTCGTCTACCGGCGAATGCTAGTGTCCGCTAGACGAAGTTGCTGCTCTTGCAGTCCTCCGTCCCAGATGAAATGCAGGAACTGAAGACTGGAACAATCCGTCCTGGTACAGAATCCAGGGAGGATTAGGGCAAAGTGGAGTAGGTAAGCAAATGATGGCTGGAACGGCAATTACCCTGACCCCTGACTCTGGACCAGCAAATGACCCTGGACCAGCTGGGCTAATCCCGAGGGGGCAATGCAGGAAGGACATTCCCAAGGAGGGAAGAATTTGACGGTTCCCATTCCGTCAGCTGAGGTGTAATCCCGTTAGGCCTTAGGAAGTCCGTGATTGGTTGTGTGCTAAAGGTAGCTCCCCGTCAACACCGAGAGAGCGAATCCCGATGTCCCTCCCAGGGCCTGGCGGCGCTGCCCAACCAGGGGCTCCGTAATTTCCCCGTGGTAAAATTGACGGCAGCCCGTCTAGTTACACATTGCCACGTCAGGGGCAAGGCTCATCCAGATGGTCTTGTGCTGGTGTTGACGAAGTTGCGCGGTCCACAAAAGCAGGACTTCCACCGCCTGCATCCACATCAGCAATAGCAGGAGCAAGGTTTCCTCGATACAAAATGCTTCGGATCACGTGGAGTTTAACTGTATGTCTATCTGGATATGGCACGTAAAGTGTTCATGATGGTGACATAATGTTGGCCGAAGTCCAGAAATTGCGAAGAAATCGACGATTGCCTCAACTGACAGAGAACCAGACCGCATCCAGCCACTGATGGGGAGTCCGAGCCGCATCCCTGGTTCGACTGAGCCAGGCGAGCCGCACTGGCGGTTCCACAGAGGCAGGGCGACAGTTCTCTCACGTCTTTTCCAGTACACCCTTTCAGTTTGGTCTATCATACGATTTTCTTCCCGATCGGAGTGGCATCACGGATTTAACAAAACGTCTAACGTATCTTGCAACCAGTTCGCGTGAGACAAACAAAAGGCTTGCTCTGCAATCACGGGCTTCAAATTAGGTGAAGAATGCGGGGCCGCTTGGGCTGGCAAAAAATCGTGTATCCGGTATTTGGCCCTAGATAATGAAAGCACAGACGTGTTACCACTCGAGTTCAGAAAGCAATTTCGCTTCAGCCCTTGCTGCTGCCCTGGATCTCTGCTCAACATCTGCGCGACCCAAATTCCATCCTCTCTGCGATGAACAGGCGAGCAGACAGTGCGGCCAACATGGCCCGCCAGTGAATCCGCCATCGCTGCAGTGTGCAGACCCCCAGACGACTCTGCGCACTGCGCGTGTGTCTGCTAGCACCCGACTTTCTGGAACAAGCTCGACTAGTCTGATGACTAGAATAGTAGTAATCGTCTGGTAAGCAAGTCGAGTTTTCGCAACTTGAATTTAGAGCCTACGCGTCATTGAGTCGGCGCACTTGCGAGCTGACTGATCGACATAGCGAGTTCGTGAAAAAACTCGATCAATACTACGAGCAGGCTCGCCTCACGTGGCGGGTTCGCTTCAAACGGCGGGTTCGCCTCCTCACATGGCCATTTCGTTACACAGGACCTCGTCGCGTCACAATAGCAGGGTCCCTCAATCATCAAGCGCCAGCAATCTCGTTGTCTCACGATTGATCCCTTCTAGAACGCGCTTCTCGCGCTCCTCACGCTTCTCACGCTTCCCTATCGACAATATGGTGCCGAAGAAACTATTTACCGGACCAGAAACCATAGCCTCCCTATTCTTCGCCTTAGCTGTGATGACTTTGTTGGGTCCTGTAGCGACGCTCGCGAGTGGGCCTTCGGTCGGCGAACGGTTGCTGTTACCACATGATAAGTCGCGCGTGATTTCGCAGGAAATGCAGATCCTCCTCGCGACCGGGACGAACCAAGGCTTCTTGCAGGCGGCGGAAACCATCGGCGGAAAGAACCCGGGAATGGGGGGAAAGCCAGGCAAGGGCAAGACGAAAGGGAACGGGTCAGGCAAAGGCAACACCAAGGGCGCAGGGAGCAAGGGCGTAGGGCGTGAGAGCGCTGGCGGCAAAGGCGGAAAAGGGATGGCTGGCGGAGTGGATACCTTGCGCGGCATTCTCAAGGGTGGCGGAAAGGGGAAGGGCAAGGGCGGGGGGAACGGAGGGCGGAGCGGCAAGGGGAAGAAGGGCGCGTGGGGGACGGCGCTGCGCAGTCTGCCGATTTGGAATGCCGCCAAGTTCCAGCTCAAAGCACGCCGAGCGCTCGCGGGGCTGAAGAAAGCGATGGCGCAGGCGGGAACGGCGCGCGGGCACGCGCTGGGTCTCGTGCGTAAGTGGATGGCGGAAGACGCGCGCGCGGGCGCGCGAAATGTGTGGACGCAAGCGGCTCGCGATTGCGTGCATCAGGTAAGGCGCGACTCGCATTGGCTGTAACTAATGGAACTATTGTAACTATTGCAAGCAGACGTACACGTATGCGCGCATTGTACACGTATACGTAGTACAGCCCCGGGACCCTCTTTCTGATGGCATCAGCTATGCCTTTCCCTCCTTCCTCCCCCCCCACCTGGTCTCTCCCTTCCCCCCGGGCTCGCCCCGCCCTTCCCTTCCCCCCGTTCTCTTCAGGCACCCTGCTCCCCTGCTCCCCCGCTCCCCATCCCTTTCCCCTTTCCCCTCCGTATTCCCATCAGCTGTCGCTTTCCCGCCTGACCATAGATCGCGCGGCGGAGATTCTCCAAGCGGGAGACGCGGACGCGACGGACGCGCACGGTTGGCGCTCTTCCCTCCCCCTCACCTCTTCCCCTTACAAACCCCCCCCCCCTCCTCTCTCTCCCCCCACCCCCTCCCCGTTCTTTCCCCATCAGCTGTCGCTTTCCCGGCTCAGCATGGATCGCGCCTCGGAGGTTCTTCGAGCAGCCCCTATTGACTCTCTGTTCTCCCCTCCCCCCGCACCTCCTCCCCTTCTCCCCTGCCCTCCCACCGCTCCCCTCATCAACTTTCCCAGCTCAGCATGGATCGCCTGCCTGGAGAACACCAGCTCAACATGGATCGCGCGGCGGAGTTCTCCAGGCAGGCGACGCGGGCGCGACAGACGCGCGGTTCAAGCCCTCAGTCCGGTCCCAACCCCTCCCAACCCCTCCCAACCCCTCCCAACTTCGGGTCTCTCACCGGTCTCGTATCCATCAGATGTCGCTCTCGCAGCTCAGCATGGATCGCGCCTCGGAGATTCTCCAGGCAGGCGACGCGGACGCGTCGGACGCGGTCTTTAAACTGTCGGGGGCAGCCACGCTGGCGGACAACTGCCAGGGCGCTTTCGACTTCCTCAGGAGGACGGAGGGCAGCAGCGGACGTTACGACATGACGGCGCAAGTGCGGGTGAGTGCGGTGCAGTGCGGTACAGTGCAGTACACGCAGGTTCGATGCGTGAATTTTCTGTCGGGGGCGGCCACGCTGGCAGACAACTGCCACGGCGCGTTCGACTTCCTTAGGAGGACGGAGGGCGGCAGCGGGCGATACGGCATGACGGCGCAAGTGCGGGTGAGTGTGGCACGGTGCGGTATAGTGCGGTGTAGTGCAGTTTGCGCAGTACTCGTGGGTGGATGTGTGAGCGTACTGATGGTGCCGCGCTGGCGGACAACTGCCAAGGCGCGTTCGACTTCCTCAGGAGGACGGAGGGCAGCAGCAGGCGATACGGCATGATGGCACAAGTGCGGGTGAGTGTGGCACTTGCAGGGTGGGTATGGGTGTGGGTATGGGTGTGGGTGTGGGTGCGGGTGTGGGTGTGGGTGTGGGTGTGGGTGTGGGTGTGGGTTTGTGAGTGCCTCAAGCTGTTGGGCGCAGCCATGCTGGCGGACAACTGCCAGGGCGCGTTCGAGTTCCTTAGGAGGGCAGAGGGCGGTGTGGAAGAGGATGGCAGCACCGGGCGATACGGCGTGACAGCACAAGTGCAGGTGAGTGCGGTACGGGCAGGGCGTGGTATAGTGCGGTGTATTGCGGTATGGTGCAGTACTCGCAGGGTGGATGTGAGAATCTTCTCTCGGGCGCGTCCAAGTTCCTGAGGAGGACGGAGGGCGGTGTGGAAAAGGGCGATACGGCATGATGGCACAAGTACGGGTGAGTACGGTTAGTTGCGGTGCGGGTGTGGGTGATGCGACGAGACAACAGACTCGTGACTGAAGAGGCACCAGTGGATGTTGCTGAAGACTGCAAGAAGGTGTGACATGTCCACTGGTGACTCTTGCAGTCCTGGGGAAGCCTGGATGACATGTCCCTGTAAGGATTCGGGCGAGTTTTGAGTTTTGACATGCGTTTTGACACGAGCTTTGAGCACGGGAGGCTGGGGCGCTATGGGGTGTTCAATTTCCTGGGCGAAGGAAGATTCCGGGAACTGATGGTAGAAGGCAATATTTCTCGCCGGTTAGAAGCCCATTCGCCCATTGTCCACTACCTCTGCCCCATTGGTCCCTGATTGTCACTCACCCACCGTCTCGATATATTTATCACCCATTTTTCACATCAGGCTTTTGAGTTGACTCAAAAGCTGCCCCATTGTTCCTAGTAATTTGTTACCCACCCACCGCCTCGTTTCATTTATCGCCCACTGTTCACATCAGGAAACGGCATCCATTCTGCACGATTCCGTTGTGGCTCTCCAGCAGCAGACCATCGACATGCAGCAAATAGCCGCGGCTGCTGCTGCTACTGATGTGTCTGCTGACGGTGGTGATGCTGCTCTTTCTGACCCTGCTGCTGACGCTGCCGCCGCCGCTGCTGCTGCTGCTGCTGCTGCTTCTAGCCCTGCTGCTAGCCCTGCTGCTGACCCTGCTTCTTCTGACCCTGCTGCTGCTGACCAAGCTGCTGCTGGACCTGCTGCCGAACCTGCTGCCGAAACTGCTACTTCCGACCCTGCTGCTGCCGAACCTGCTGTTGCCGAACCTGCTGCTGCTGACCCTGCTGCAACATCCAGCGGCCGATCATTGGCGGATTTCTCCGTTAAGGGTAGGGATGAGGCGGGCCTGAGGAGGGGAAGAAGAGTGCAGGAGGTTAGGGGAGGTGGGGAGGGTGGTGCGGACGACGGGGAGGGAGGAAGCGTTGGGGTAAATGTGGAGGGGGAGGGGGGGAGGTAGGAGGAGACAGAGCAGGAGAGGGAGGGGGGGAGGTAGGAGAAGTGGTGGGAGAAGTAACTGGGGAGAAAGCGGGAGGGGGAGGTTCAACCGGAGAGATAGCGCGAGGGGAAGAGGTTACGACTCTTGAAGACCCTTCTGTACCTAATCCAGAAGTTGGCCCGGCTGAAGCTTCCGCTGACGTGTCATCTGACGTGGACGACACCAGTGCTGACGTGGATGGTCCCACCGCTGATGTGAACGACCCCACTTCTGAGGTGGACAGCAACAGTGACACCATAGAGCCAGCAGATACCGAGGGGCAGAAACGCACCCCATCTTCTCCCTCCTCTTCATCACTCCTGCAAGCCAACGGCACTGCTGCTGACCCCCCAACTGCCTCCCCCTCCTCCCCCTCCTCCCCCTCTTCCCCCGCACCCCCCTCTTCTCCCCCGCCCCCCCCTTCCCCTCCCCCCAAGAAGCCCCCCACGCTTCCCTCCAATTGCCCCAAGCCTATTGTGCGCCCTCCCCCCCTCCTTGCGCCCTTCTCCATCCCCCGGCTTATGCCCAACCTGGTGGTGGCCCAGGATGGATCTGGGGACTTCACTAATATTCAGGTAATACATGACAACGGATATATCAGAATATAGAAAACTGCTCTCCATCCCCCGGCTTAAGCCCAACCTATTAGTGGCACAGGATGGATCTGGGGACTTCACTACAATCCAGGTAAGCACTGTCCCGTTTTGTAGTGATTTCTCTTTTATGTTTACTAAATCTCTTGAGTCTGATTTCAGTTTACAAAATTGTAACCAATTCCTTTATTCCATGTTGCACCCAATTGTACAGGACGCGGTGCTCGCGGCCCCCAAGAAGCCCAAGGGCCGATTCGTGATTCTCGTGATGCCAGGTGTTTATAACGAGCGGTTCGAAATTGGAAAACCCAATATCACGCTCGTGGGGCTGTCACCTGCGCTCACTATAATCACGGGAAACGCGAGTGTCGGCACCAACTCCACTACATTCAACAGCGCCACTGTTGGTAAGATATCGTTATCTCCTTACAGTCAGCAATTAGGTTATGAAAATGACTATTTTAATCCTTACAGCTTGTTTGTGCTCTTCGTTTTCTGCGCCCTCCATCACCCTTTTCCCACTATCTACCCGCCCCCCTTTTCCACTGTGTCCTCACCCCTATTCTCTGATGTCCTCTCTTCTAACCCATTTTCACCGCAGCCTTTACCTTAAGGACCCCTCATTCTTACCCCACTCTATCTGTCCGACCCCCTTCTCCCTCATCCGTCCAACCCTCTCCCTCACCCGTCCCCCCCTCTCCTCTCGTCCCCACTCTTTCTCCTGTCCCTCTTCCAGCGATTGAGGGTGATTATTTCGCAGCCGTCAATATTCGCTTTGAGAACACGGCAGGCAAGATCAACAACCAGGCTGTGGCTCTGAGGGTGTCGGCTGACCAGTGCGCCTTCCACAACTGCGAGTTCACGGGATTCCAGGTGAGGCTTCAGGTCAGAGTAGCATGACCTATGTATAGAAGAGAAATGTCAACAACCAGGCCGTGTCCCTGCGGGTGTCGGCTGACCAGTGCGCCTTCCACAGCTGCGAGTTTTTGGGATTCCAGGCGAGAGCTCTGGAATGCAGGTGGGGTTGTTTCAAGGACCGCAAACGCCTCTTGTTCCCATTACAACCACACTCGCTGCCGTTCGCCTATCCCCACCCTGCTCGCCTCCAGGACACTCTCTATACCCACAGCGGCTGTCAGTACTACCGCAAATGCTTCATTAGTGGCCGCCCGGACTGATTGAGGCGCCTGACCTTATCAACCTCACTCAGTGTCCTTCCCTGTCCTGTTCCCTCTACCCTGCTCGCCTCCAGGATACGCTCTACACCCACAGCGGCCGTCAATACTACCGCAACTGCTTCATAACCGGCAATGTTGACTTTATCTTCGGAAACGCAGCTGCTGTTTTCGACAACTGTACCATTCAAATCCGGCAGCACACCAGCGGCGCCCCCGTTTCGGCCTCCAGCCGACAAACCCCCATCGACCCCACGGGTCTAGTCATCCTGAATTCCCGGGTAGTTGGCGAAACCACCCGCTGCGTTACAGGGTTTTTGGGCCGCCCTTGGAAGAGTTACGCCCGATCAGCGGTGATTAACTCATATCTTTCGCCGCAAGTCAGCTCGCTCGGATGGATGGATTGGAACGGTCAAGTAAATGACACTATAAGTTTTATCGAGTACAACAATACAGGGCCAGGGGCGAACGGACCGCGCGTTTCATGGTTACGGCCGGGGATTATAGCGAATGTGACTGCAGCGAGTGACTTCTTCCCGGAGAAGTTCCTGTACCCATTTGGAGTGATCCGGGCGCTGCTTCCCTGGCTGTGAGCTGCTGGGATCTGGACGGTGGGGAGTGATTCAGTCGTTGCCACTGTAGTTGTGTGCAATCAGGAGTGGCTGCAGTGAGCGGTTTTTTACCCGAGAAGTTCCTGTACCCGTTTTGGTGTGATCCGGGCGCTGCTTCCCTGGCTGTGAGCTGCTGGGATCTGGACGGTGGGGAGTGATTCAGTCGTTGCCACTGTAGTTGTGTGCAATCAGGAGTGGCTGCAGTGAGCGGTTTTTTACCCGACAAGTTCCTGTACCCGTTTTGGTGTGATCCGGGCGCTGCTTCCCTGGCTGTGAGCTGCTGGGATCTGGACGGTGGGGAGTGATTCAGTCGTTGCCACTGTAGTTGTGTGCAATCAGGAGTGGCTGCAGTGAGCGGTTTTTTACCCGACAAGTTCCTGTACCCGTTTTGGTGTGATCCGGGCGCTGCTTCCCTGGCTGTGAGCTGCTGGGATCTGGCTGCTGGGGAGTTGCTGATGGGGTCTGGCTGCTGGGGAATTGCTGGTGGGGAGTGGCTGCTGTGGTCGCTGCTGCGGGTCCCTGGTACTAGAGAGACGATCGGTGGCGTGTGATCGACGCTGCGGCTGCGTGCCATTCGAGAGACGGCTGTCGAGCCACTGGTTGACTGATCGTTGGTCGGTGGGTGTATCTGGCCTCAATATGAGTGTGCATCGGGGTAACGGTCTGGCGGGTCAGCTTATGGGTATGGCGGGTGAGGGCTGTGGGGGCGGGCTACTGTGGTGACAACGATGGGTGTGGTTGGGAAAGCCACCAATGAGCTCATCAAGGCAGGATAGCTGATTCTGACGCATGTGCTTAGCGCGAGCACAGGCAAGGAGCCGATGAAGGTGGGTGGGTGTGCTGGATGCTGCACGTCTTAGTGGTGTGTGCATGGATGTGCCATCTCACTTCCACTGTGATGCTCATAGCACATGAAACATTCCACAATGCATTGCTGTAAGAGCTCAAAACTGGCTGTTCCAAGCATTGCTGCATTGATTTTTGAAAACCTTGCTGTACCATTAACATGCACGTGTACCAGGGTTTTAGGCTGAAGGAGCCATAAGAGCTCAAAACTGGCTGTTCCAAGCCAGGGCAATGAGTAAAATACGCACCAAGGCAACCACTGTAACTAGCAAGGAGGTACCACTGAAAGGAACTGTGGGTGCAAGCTAACCTACAGCTCTGGACGAGTACGAAACTGCCCAAAATCGGCAATCAAGAAAAAAACGACCGTTCCTTGCCAGGAGGTCCGCAAGCAAACCACGAGCTTGGCATTGCGCCAGAGAAGCAGAAGGTCTGGCAGGGATTGAGTGTCTCACTTCTTCTCAGTAGTCTCACTTCTTGTCTTTCCCCATCGTCTGCATGAACACAGGCCAATTTGCCTTGAACTCCGTCCATCCTAGCAGCGAGCCTTCTCTAAGCGGATCCCAGCTCGTGGAAATAACTCCGTAGGAGATTCCTAAGCCCGCGCCGCCGAAGAGGAATAAGGACGTCAGAAGCGGCAGCCAATCCGGGACGTCCACTTTTTGGATGACCTTTAGATAGTAGAAGAGCGGGAAGAACGACAGGCCGACGAACAGCGGTACGCCGACGGTGAATGCGAGCCGCTTCAAGATGCGATTTGTGACCACTTCGGGAACTTCGTCGTCAATGTCTTCGCGAACGGTCTTCGCAGGAGTTTCCTCGAGCTGTTTCGCCGGCTCGGTCTGCTTTGGCGGAGTAGCGGGTTTCACGGGCTTGGTTCCGAATCCCTTGGGGGACTGCGCTGACGCTCTTATTGACACCGCACGGCGGCAAACATAGGAACTCACGGGAGCATGGCGACAACGAGTTTGCAGTGATGTAACTTGCGATGTTGACGACGCGAGCGAACTCAGCTGAACCAATGTCTGGACCCCCATTGCGAGCTCTGAACGTTCAGTTTCACTGAAACGCCTACTTGCACAATGAGGGAACAGAGAGCAGCGTCTGCCAGCGATAGTAGGCTTGGAGATACCTCCCTAAATTACTATGTCGAAAAGACACGTGGAATGGATTATGGAATGTGTGAGAGGATGAAGGGGGGGAATCACGCGGAACAGCCCCCTCATCCGTTGCGGAGATTGGCAAGCTATGGAGGGGGGAAAGCGCGGACAGGAATCCCCGAAATGGTGGGTGGAGGGGGGGTGGTAAGGCGGGGAACTGCACGGTATAACGAGTATGGAAGGGTACATGTATAAGTGAACTTCCCATACGATAATTTACAAGAAACCTACCAATCACCCATAGAATGTGAGCGCTTTGCGTTGTTACTTTAACGAACAGTCTTGTAGCTGCACCATGAACGTTGAAAACAAGCCGGTCGTTCGTTGGACAATCCAGACAGCCAGCTGTCAACGAATCTTGACAGCCAGCGGGAGTCAAAAACGAAATTCCCCCCCATTCCCCAAGTTCCCCGCCTCCCATCACCCCCCAATCTGACAACCCGATGAAAAGCGCCCCCCCCCTACCCTCCGCCCCCAATTCCCTAGATACGTCCCCACATCCCCCCCCACCTCCTCCGCGTCCCCCCCAGACCACCGCACAAACTCCGCCACGCCCTTCCCCCCACTCCCCCCGATTCCGCGCATTCCTCCAATCTGCCCGCCAAAGCTTCCCCCCAGTCTGCATTCCCTAGATTCTTCCGAAAGGTGGGCTCTTGACAGCAAGACATCTAAACAGAGGACTCTTAGCGGCTCGCTCTGCTGCTCGCCAGTTCGTTAGACTGATGGGCGGACTCGTCGCATCTACCTCGCGCGCCCCGATTCTGAGCTGGGCTGGATTGAGTTTCCGCGTCGTCGTCGAATGGCGGGGTCACACGCCGCCAGGAATAAGGGACTCTCTAGAGCTGCTGCTGCGCCAGCCGAGTCGAGGCAAGGTGACTTGCTGTCGCTCCGACTATTTAATTCGTTCTTCGGAAGGACAATGCAAGCTCATTCCTTGCGACGACAAATAAGCCTTCTACCTTCACTACCTATCACCCTAGTTTTCTCAGAATTGCAGCTCATTTGACCGACATGGCCATCCGCGTTACAGGCATCCTCGTTGCTGTACTCTGCCTCGCTGCAGTTGCCTCTAGCGCCTCTGTTCCTCAAAACCTCACCGCTCTCCACCGCGAAGGACCGCGCCGTGCTCTCCAGGGCCTCCCCCCGTTCGACGCCGCTGCAGCAGCCCTGGGCGCAGCGGCCGGAGCCATGGCCGGCGCCGTCCAATCAGCAGCCGCCACGTTGGCCAGCACCATCGCGCAGGCTCCCGGCGGGCTCCTATTCGACGACGCGTCGAAGATCTGCGTGGATTTCGGCCTTCTCCCCGCCTGCGACTTCTACTTCGATCTGCTGGGCCCGCTCGGCCTGCCCTCGCTCCGCTTCCCCGTCGTCTCCGGCGGCGCGCTCGTGCTCTCCCAGCAGAACGGCGACCGCCCCGTGAGCCTCGCGATCGCCACCGACGTTTCGCCTGGCGCTGGCGAAATCGTTGGCGACAAGAAGAAGAAGGGTGGTTACCAGGTGGAGATTGACGCGACGGGTCCGGCGGAATACTGCAAGTGCGAGGCGGCAAAGCTGGCGAAATCAGTGGCGCACGCCGGTGATCAGTTCTATGCGACAGGACAGGTGAGTACCTTGGGCTTGCGTGCTCCCTCTAGACTTTCTTGAGCAGTCAAAGCTGGAGAAAACAGTGGCACACGCCGGTGATCAGTTCTACGCCACTGACCAGGTGAGTATCTTGGGCTTGCATGCTGGAAGCCTGCCTCCCCCCCGTCTAGAGTCTAGACTTGAGCAATCAAAGCAAAGCACATGAGATATGAACTGGGCGGTTACACTTTCTGGTTATGCCTTTCCTGCCCTGAATTTCCCCCTGCCCAAGCCACTAAGGTGTATGCGCGCACGTTTCAGAAGAGCCTGCCAGCGTCGGCCTGCAAGGGGTGCTGTGCGCGCCTGCCGCTCACCTTGTGCTTGCCAATAGTCCTCACGCCCTCCGTACCTTATTCCCCCCTCCCCAGCCCGCCAAGGTGTATGCTCGCACTTTCCAGAAGGACCTGCCAGCTCCATGATTCCCCTGATATCCTGTCTCCATTCTCTCCCTCCACTGTCCCACTTTCTCCTCCCCCCAGCCCGCCAAGGTGTATGCTTGCACGTTCCAGAAGAGCCTGCCAGATCTATGTTTCCCCGTATTCCGCTGTCTCCATTCTCTCCCTCCACTGTCCCACCCTCTCCCCCCCCCAGCCCGTCAAGGTGTATGCGCGCATGTTGCAGAAGAAACTGCCAGGTCTATGTTATCCCCTATTCCCCTGTCTCCATTCTCTCCCTCCACTGTCCCACCCTCTCCTCCCCCAAGCCTGCCAAGGTGTATGCGCGCACGTTCCAGAAGAACCTGCCAGCGTCGGCCTTCAAGGGGTGCTGTGTACGCCTGCCGCTCACCAGCGTGCAGCTCAAGGCTCCCAATGGTGACATCATCAACCTCAACAAGGGCGATGGGAACAAGCAGTTTCCTGAGAAGCACCGCTGCCTGCTCTTCCACGTGCTCACCGTGTGATCGCCACAAGCTCATTGCGTGATGATCAGCTTATAGATTTAGGGAAGTCTCGTGGACCTATGCATGGACTGTGGGGAGCACAAGTTTGAATTTGTACAGGGGAGAAGTATTTGTGGAATGCAGCATCTTACTCAAGAAATGCAAGTAATGATGTATTGTGCAACTACATTTTGCGTTATTGTGGTAAAGTAGTACAATTGTATTCCATACATTTTGATCACATCTACGAAGGCGCTTTCGGAAACACCAGAATGGCCAAGTGCCTTGAACTAGCATCACGGGGCTGCTACTACTGTGCTATTCCACACCGTTTGGCAGCAACAGAATCTCATTGAAATCGAGCCTGCCCCCACGCGGACCGCGACTTTCAACCGACCAATAGCCACCGCCTCTGCGAAAGTTTGTGACCTCGCGGCAGTTTCCCGATCAGCAGGGTTCGCCGATAAGCTGCCTGCTGCTGAGTTACGCGAATCTCGGTCGCGTCGCCTCGCCACCACAGAAATGTTATACTGTATCGTGAAGCCTCAAGCACCGCTTCCCGAACCGCATGTCGGCCAATTTTGACGCGCTCCCAGCCCCTCGCTGAGCAATAAAACACGCTTCGTGCCTTCAAACCTTTCATCGAATTCATTCGTGCCTCCTCGCCTCCACTCTTCTCCTCAGCAATTCACCAGCATCCCATCGAACCCTTTCCAAAACTCCGCACGAGACTATTTATTACTCCTTAGGATCGTGCACCTCTAGTCCCACAAAAATGGCCAGCTCACGGCTCCTCGCTCTCTTCGGCCTGCTCTGCGTCGTGCTCTGCTTCGCTGCCACCGCGCACGCACAGGCCGCCGCGAAGCCCACCAAGGCGCAGATAAAGGCGGAGCTGCAAAACATGGCGAACAACATCACCAAGAATTATCCGCAATACGCGAAATACGCCAAGGACATCAACAAATACATCGGCCTAGCACGTAAGAGCTCCTTCCCTCTTCCAAACTAATCACATATTTGTTGATAGCAGGCTCTCCACCGCCCCGCTCACGCCGCCAGCAGAATGTCCCACCACCTCCTAGTAGCGTCAAGATTCTCTACTAGTTTTCGCGTTCCTTCCTCGTCTTCCAACCCAACAGCAAAGTTTGCTCCCGCTGTCCCCGCCGGTTTAAGAGAGAGAGAGGCTCTTTTTTCATAAAGTATCAGCAGCCCACATTCGCTCTCAGCCATTGACCTATTTTTCTATCCCTCTCCCTCGCCCTCGTCCCGTCTCCAGTTAACTCCAAGTACGATTTCACAGCTCTCAGCGACGCAACCCTGCTGCTCCCCAGCGACACCGAGGCGCAGGCCCTCGCTAAGAAGGTCCCCGCTACAAGCTCCAACATTCCCAAAATCTACAACATCACCGCGTACCACATAATTCTCAAGAAGTACACCGTTCCCGCGCTCACGGTGCTCAAGAAGTCGCAACCTCTGGGCACGCAGCTGAAGCAGGCGATCTACAAGGTTTCGGTGCAGAATGGTAACACGGTATCTTTCGCCAAGTCGCCCAACGCCCCCCCTGCCGAGTGGACGACGATCAAGATCGTGCGGCTGTACGCTGGGCCCTACTTCATCGCCCACGGCGTGGATAAAGTCCTGGTTCCCACCAACACCAAAGTGTAAACTTTCGTGTTATTGCTGAAACCCCGGGCCGGTTTGGTACCCAGTTGACAATCAGTCATGCTGCTGTTAAACCTCTGAACTAGGGATGACTGCAGGTCAACTAGGCATCAGTCTGTAATATCTTAGTATCCTGCATGTCTGCTACCTTCAGTGTACAGACTACATAGCTTCTTTGGTATCTCACCTCAAGATGCTTAATGCTACCCCTTGGTGTAACTGGTTCCACTGTTGAGCTGCTGCCGAATGAGAAGAGGTGATCAAAGCTCTAGTCGGCCGAACAAACTTCTCAGATATTAGTAATTCATACTTCTTCAATACAAAGCTTTCTGTTGCTATGGTCTGCTGCTGCTGAGGCTGTAGCAGGGGTTAGGGGTGGGAACCAGAAGGCCTAGATGCATACCGTAGTTGTCGGCTGGTGTTGATGAGCTGAGCTTACATGTACTTTTTTTTATTTTCTTACATTCTCAACGCTTGCACATACCGGTGCTGCTATTTCCATGATACTAAGGACACCCGTCTTGCCTAGTTTTGCTGATTGGTTTCATTGCATCCATGTTTTAAGGTAAGTGTGTTCTTCTTACCAATACTATGTGCACTGATGAGTTTATTCTTTAGGGCAGAGCAGGGAGTAGGACTGTGATGTGGCTGTTGGAAAATACCTCAAGGACTTAAGCGTTTCTGAAGTGTAACACCACACTCGAGGAAGATCGTAACGGGTACGCGAGTCAACGGAGGTTACACGAAGGGATGGACAAAGAACACGAAAGGACTCGAAGGGTCGCAATCGGAGGTTGCGACTGACCGTTACAACTGCAAGGATGGTAACCGAAGCGACAATCGAGTCGTTGTGCGACTCGATAACCGCTCCTTCAACTGTATTCTACAACTGCTTGCTTTCTTACTTTCTATATATTGCTGTATACTTGTTCTTTTAATCAATCACTTGTTCTCACATACTAGTACAAGGGTTCAACTACTCAACTTCTGCTGCACTACTCAAGTCTCCTTTTACAACTGGACTTAGTCTCTGGAAAGATCCTAAGGGCTATTTCTCAGCCCAAAATGGTATGAGAGCTAGTCAGAGACCAAACTCCCAGCAACAACGTCTATCTACAGTCAACACCTCAACAAACTTCATTGATTACAAGTCATGGACAACAAGGGCAAGAAGACCTCTACGGGCTCACCCAGCGCCCAAGACACCCAACCCGGCAACTCTGGATTACACACTTCAGGACTGCCATCCGAGACCGGCGCTGCTCAAGAAACAACAGGAAGAGCACCTAAAATGGTGACCCCATCACCCTGTTCAAGCGTCGACCCGAACCTTATGGAAAGGTTCTTCAGCTTCATGTCACACTTCGACCAGCAGCAGCAGACAAGGACACCTGCGCATTCAAGACAGAGCAACGGAGGAAACATGGGATTAGCGCCGATGAGCCTCGACAATTCATCGTTCGGGCGACACAATCAAGTGCCTACCTTTGCGCCTTATCACTCTTCACCGGGGACGTTCGAGTTCATGCCGCCCCGTGCCCAACCAACAGCAGCTGCATCACAACAGACACCAAACGAGATACTTAGTCTCCAGGCGCAGTTTTCACACGTGATCAAACTGCAGACATCCTCACCGTTCAACGGACACGACTTCTTTACCTAGAGCTTTTAGTTCGAGCTGCTGATGGAGGCTGCGCATCTCTTGGGATACTTCAACGGGTCCCTGCCATTTCCAAGCAACGGCACTGCGAAAGAGCAAGAAATTTTTACATATCAGTCGCTGCTGGCGTACACAGTCCTCCTGCGGAACCTGTCACCACAAGAGCAGCAAAGCATCAGAACGTATCGGAGCTATGGAAACTCCGCGGAACTCGCATGGCATCACCTCAAGTGTCTCTATCAAGCAAACGACAGCGTGACACAAAGCAGACTCATGCAGCAACTGACAACAATACAGATGAAGACCGGGAAAAAGGCGATGCAGTATATGAGTCGATGCCAGACACTCCGCGACCGCCTGCTTTGGTGCGGAGGAACAATCACTGAAGAAAGCTTCGTGTCGCTTGTCCTTGCTGGGCTCGGGCCAGAATGGAGAACCACCCGCTCGCTTCTTCGCGCCCACTGACGAATCTCGGAGATGCATCTCTGCGCCGAGCTCCATGCTGAACAACAAGAGATGGACGTGTTTGAAGAAAGACAACCAAGGAAGCAACAACCGTTAGTCTTCTACACTCAACGAAGGAACGACAACAACCACAACCGACACGGCAAGCAAGATCAACGCGACAACAGAGGACTCACCATTGTGCCGCCGTTCTGCCACAACTGTCAAACATCCGGACACTCCAAAGTCAACTGCACACGCCCACGAGCTTATCGTCCAGTAGACCCACAAGTCGCCTCCACTCAAGAAAGCCCGCCGAGGCATTCCTCCATATCTGCGCAAGGCACACTAAACATCATCAATTGCATGGTCCACATCGACAACTGCGCACCCGGCTCACCACCCACTTACGCTCCAGACGAGGAAGAACTGCCGCCGCCGCACTCACAAGGACTTCAGGTTAATCCGACATACGCTGCAGTCGCCAATGCCGAACCCACCGGGCGAAACACCTGGTTCTTGGATAGCTGCTACGGTCAAAACATGTATTCTTCCGGGCGCTTCGTGCAGCGAGAGCGACGCCTCAACCGCGATGTCATCATCACCGTCGCCAACAACGAGAACTTGAAAACAAACAGACAAGGCGTCGTTCAGCTTCAGTCAATGGAGACGAACGTCATACTACAACTCAACAAAGTTCTAATCGTCGACAACTTGGGATACAACTTACTCAGCGTCAGCCAGTTAATGGCAAAAGGGATTCACCTGGAATGCAACTCGGACTCCAACGAATTTCGCCTTTACCACGGGAAGGGCGGTCTTTTCATCGGTCGCGCTCTCCTGAAGTCGGGCGTCTTCGTGTTGGATTTCGTCCCCGACCGCGGTACTGCCGACAGCGATGGCATCGTGTCGTTCGCCGCTTGGACGCACCCGCCGGATCTTGACCCCGACTTCAAACCAGATGGCTTCTGGTACTCCAACACCATACCTGCAGCAGAGAGAACACGAGCGTTAGCAGTTATTCGACAAGAAAGACAAGTACCAGCAAGCGTTCCTTCCTCAATGTCACCCGAAGTTACAGCAGCGGGACCCAGCCGAGTACCATCACCAGCAATCCGAGGACCACCAACCGAAGCAGATCAACTTATGCCAATCGTACGAGAAGTCTGCCGAAGTCCCGCCACAGTCGTCGCGTTCTTCTCCAACGCCGACATGTACCAACGGTCGCCCGGCCATCGGTCACCCTGCAAACAGCACAATACTACAAACCATCCAAGTCGAAGTGTTAGAGAGAAACGCTCTTCTTACAATGGGCGGCCAAGAACTTCGACGACCACGCGCACGGTGCTTTACGTGCCCCGAAGCCGATCTTCCCCACCAACCTTTTCCATCACATCACAATCCAAGCGCACCTACATATGCACCGATGGAAAAAGTTTACAGCGACATCTTAAACATGCCTCGAGACGACACTGAAGCCGACTTCAACTATGTCATCACGTTCATCGATGCAGCAACAAGATATGTCCGGCACTACTACCTCAAGACGCGCGATCAAGCTTTCGAAGCCTTCACGACGTGGCTCCCCATGGCTGAACGAGAATCAGGAACTAAGCTCAAGAGCTTCCAGTCAGACGGCGCACTGGAATACAAGTCACAACGCTTCAGGACCTACTTGGCGGAAAGAGGAATCAGACGCCTGGTGTCTCTGCCCTACGCTCACCAGCAGCAGCGGGTCGCAGAAAGAATCAACCGGACCTTGCAGACGACGATGCGGAAGCTGCTCCTGGGAATGAGACTGCCCAAGGCACTGTGGCCAGACGCGATAACCCATGCAGTCCACCTGCACAATTTGTTATCCTCGTCCTCGCTTCCCAACAACGCATCACCGCACCTGCTGTGGACACGAAAAAGGGGCAGCACAAAATTACTTCGGGTTTTCGGCTGCAAGGTACAGTACAGACCCCACACAGCCCGAGTAGGACGTTTCACTCAATGAGCAAGGTGGGGACTACACCTCGGCATCGCCAAACCTTTCCAAGCATGGAAACTCCTCGACATACAAGACAAAAATACCGTGGCATCACGTGATGTGATCTTCTACGAACGACTGACGCTGCAGCATTACCTGGACAACGTCGCCAACACAGATGACCCCACCGACGGCTTCGTGGGCCTTCGCTCCTTCGCCGACCGTGCTGCCGAGGCTGACGCAGCAGAAGAAGACGTACCTGGAGCTTCGGAAGCTGCCGGACCACTCCCTTACTGTTCTGTGCTTGTTCCACTCGACGAAGACAATCCCCTCGATAGCAACAACCTCGACACCCTTTACCACTTCGCTGACCAAGGTTACATTACACCTCACTCGGTCGACACAAATGTCTCAGAACGCATCGGCCCAAACTTCTCACCTGATCCAGAAGATGGTGACAAAGCAGCCTATTCGGGGAATGAAAATTCCCCTCGACACACACCCACGGGACTGCAGATACTCGGCTTATGGGTCTCCGTCCAGCATCCGCTGCCGCCATCTCCGAACGAGCCAACGACTCTGTCGCAGGCTCTGGGGGGGGGAACACAAGGCGAAATGGAAGGAGGCAATGGAAAAAGAACTGAAAGTTCTGCAAGACCGAAATACATGGAAGCAAGTACCTGCAATAAACATCAACGGGAAGAACGTTCTCTCGGGAAAATGGGTATACAGTGGCGGATTAAATTGTCCACATGTTTTGCCTTTTTTGGCATTTTTATGAGTGCAGAGGCGTATACATTAAGCCTTAATGTACGGTGTGCATTAACGCTGAGAAGTTCAGTTAGAGCAGTCACTCCAGTGTTCAAACACCAAAGTAGTACCACACATGGTCCTTAAACTCCTAAGCATAGCATGGGAGAACATGTGGACAATTTGTACCGGAAAATGGTATCACACTAGATTCTAGGAAAACTAGTACCTAGTCCAGCGTCCCTTTGCCCGAATCACTGCCTTGATCCTCCTCGGCAGGCTGTCGATCAGGTTTGCACACACCTCCGGCGGTATCTTGTCCCATTCCTCCTGCACCCTCTCCCACAGCTCCAGCATTCCCCTTGGCGGCTTTTCGTACTTCCCCAGCTGCCTTTTCAAGTATGCCCACAGGTGCTCAATTGGGTTAAGGTCCGGGGAGCACGACGGCCATTCCAGCACCGCGTACTCCTGCT